ACATAATAGTTGGAAACGGGTATCTGACGATGGGGCCATTAGAGATTTATTTACTAATAGCGACTCACCCTCGCTTCACTCGGGTTCATCCCTAGCTTGCTTCCCAATACAAAATTTCATAGCCATTTTCACCCCTTTGAGGGATGATGTCCGAGATAAAAAGTATCCTATGTGCTTCCCAGGGTCTGAAACTATCGTCTTACCAGATTTCATCTAAATCGGTTCAGTAGATCCAGAGATTACCACCTACAACGTCACAAACTCACAAAATTTACCTCTTTAAAATATTAGTATAGACTAACGACTCATCCTCGCTTCGCACAGGTTCGACCCTAGGTTGATTCCCCATACAAACTTTCATCCCCATTTTCACGCCCTTAAGGGATGATTTTCGGAATAAAAACTATTTCAAGTATATATGCCGTTTGACAAGAACGATCTGTGCTGCTAGAACAAGCTAATCAATCAGTATTTCTAAATATAGGGGAACCTACTTTTTCCTTTCTTTTCAAATGGCTTTTGTTCCTGCTCCTAGTTTTATATATTATCCACAGATTTTATTTTTATTAATGTATTATTGAGTAAAATAATTGTTCTTTCCATATAAGCATATTTTACAGTTATAATTATTTACTATTTAATCTTTAAAAACCGAAAATGTAAAAAACTGGTCTGGGTACAACAAGTTCCCCTACATACATATACATACATATGTAGAATCTCTCGTCCAATTCCACTATTGTTACTAAGCTTTGACAGCTAAAATAAAGGTTTCAAATTCACTTTCTCACGGAACCTATATTTTTATTGAAATGTGAAGAGAAAAATAGAATTGGGAAATGTATAATTTATTTTAAGTAAAAACAGAGTTCCCGAGACTTTCTGTTAAAGGATGGTAACATTATGTTACTAACTTCTTTTAACTAGGCAAGAGAGAAGATACTATATGTTAATTCTTTTATTAGTTGTTTTTTACTATTCTAATTTTTCATTTTTTTCATTAAACATCTATAAAACTGCAACTGGCATTTATATCTAATTAGCTATCATATTAATCTATCTACATCTACTACCGTTTAAGCTAATTTCAATCGTACTATTTTGTTTTGAACCTTTTTTTCAATGTGAGGCTAACGTTTGACCTCCCCGTATTTATTAGGTATAGGTATACTATGACATATAATGCATGTAGGGATTAACGACTGACTAAACATAATCAAAGGAAAAAAACGGATAAACCAATAGATATAATTAATAACACAAAAGCTTACTCCTTAACTGTATTCAGTAATAATCTAAAGTTGCATTTAAAACCTTCAATAGAAAGGATTCCCAGTTTCAGTAGTCGTCGTTGTAGATGGTATTGTTGCAATTGTTAAAGTTGTCGCTTCTGTTGTTGTTACTTCTGTTGTTGTTGCTTCTGTTGTTGTTGCTTCTGTTGTTATTGCTTCTGTTGTTATTGCTTCTGTTGTTGCTGCTTCTGTTGTTGTTGCTTCTGTTGTTGTCGCTTCTGTTGTTGTCGCTTCTGTTGTTGTCGCTTCTGTTGTTATTGCTACTGTCGTTAATATTACAGTTGTTGTTATCGGTTGAACAGTTGTTACTGGTTCAACTGTTGTTAATAGTTCAACAGTCGTTACGTCTGTTTTCTTATACGTTGTTGTTGATCGCGTTTCACTTATAGAATTTTCTCGAGGAAGTTCAGATCTTTGTGTCGTAAAAAATACATAAGATGGTTTTTCAGACTTCAATGATATTTTAGGTGTATCTGGCGTTTGACTTCTATCAAAAACTGTGTATTTTGTCGGTGGAATCGTTATTGAATTGCTTTTATCGTAATTTGTTTTAATTATGTTGCTGGTTGTATCTATTGTACTGCCACTATTTTTTACCACTTCAAAAAGGGGTTTATAACGTGTAGTTGAATTTTTGTTAAAGGAAAGGGGTTGCCTATTTTCATTCCTTGAAACTTTAAACTTTTCAAATTTATTTGTTGTCCGAGCTCTCATTTCCATGATCCTTTTTACTATGCTTATCGGCAACCAGTGACCTGGAAATTCTGACTCCACGGGATTATCTAAATATGTTAATTCATCTGTACTAGTTTCTGAATGTTTAGTTAATAGAACACGTTTCAAAATGATCAATATAGCACATACTAAAATTGGAAGTGAGTGCACTGCAAAGAGAATATTTAATTAATTTTTTAATGTCATAAACCAATAAAATAACTGCATGTGGACATGAATCCTAATGTCCAAAACCTGCTTTATAGTACTTTCGCCAATGGTTGCGAGTTTGATTCCCCTTAGGAAATATTTGGTTATATTTTGTGACAGAAACTATTAGGTGATTGATATGCCATTGAATGCAGTCAATGTCCAGCTTGAGGATAGACTTCTTTAATAGGTTATTTACCTCATTGGAGCACACTGCACATCCGGAGGTCCTGGATTCGAGTCCCGGGTCCAGTCAAGTTACGTTATTGATCCTTTCTGTTATGGTCCTAATAACAACCCAAAGTTGGGAAGTTGTCGGTGTTTCACTTCCGTGCCTCGGAAAGTAGGTAAGCCCGTCGACCCTGCGCCTGACCTCTCACCGGTCATGTCAAATTATTATATAATTATATGATTTGGGAGTGAAGGAATAGAGTGTACTGGTGTACGTACACTTGTGCACTATAAGATCTCCTGCGCAGTTGGCTAGTCTCAGCGAAATTGGCCGCCGTGGCCGAAATCGGTCGGGAACATATCATCACATATGCAAAATATTTGTGTTGTGTATTTATAATAAATAATACTTATTGAACCTATAATAGCCCAGTGGTTACGCGTTCGCTTGGGAAACCGAGTGAAGTGGGTTGAAATCCCTGGTCTCGCACCTCAGATATTTTCATGTGCGACATTTCTAACATGATTACCACTCGCCTTACAGTGAAGGAAAACATCGTGAGGAATCCTGCATGTCTGAGTAAACCTAGCAAGTTTTCGAAAGACATGTGAAGTCCGCCAACCCGCACTTGGCCAGCGTGGTGGACTATAGCCTGATCCCCCTCGTATTGAAGGAAGCCCGTGCCCAGCATTGGGACGTTCAAAAGAGCTGAATACAAACATTGTATAATATTAACAATTACCCAGCAGCTTATAGGTAAAAAAGTAATAAAAGAAAGAGTAATATCTTATTAGTTCAAAAGAAAAAAAATTAACAAAAGTGACGAATGTATGTATGTATGTCATGACATAAAAAAATATCTAATACGCAATACTTGCTTTCTTTATGCGTCCGTCACCATTTTTAATTAGGTCAGCGATATCTATATACATTCTGTTATAAAATATAATTTTACATGAAAAAATCGAAAAATAACTGTCAAGAAATAATGAGAAATTAAAACATTTGAGATTTAATATAATCAACTTTATTTTATATTAGACCATGCGTTAAATTGTTTTTATCCTTGAATGATTTTACGACTCTCATAACAATCACGGAGTTAAATATCTAAAAGTAGGTAGGTATTTAACCATTTCAAGATTTTCTCTCCGATTTAAAATTAGAAGCTAGGAACTCTTCCAGGCTCTAAAGTACGAATTTGAATTCGCGATTAATAATAAATTAATATTAAATAAAACACATTTTTATAAACATAAAAATAAATAAATGTGTAATGAATGAGTTTAATTTAATTTAAAGTTTATTTTAAATTTTTAGGTACATATTTATTCTTATTCTTCTCAGCAAACACCTTCATTTGATATCTATATCATAGGAGTGCAGAAAAAATTGCTCAATCGGTTGAGGATACCTGCTTTAAAATTCAGTTGTAAGATTTGACCGAAAAACATACATACAAACATTGCAAGTTAAATATAAGCTTGTGAAATTACTAATAGGCAACACAATTCGTCATTTTAAATATCGAACTCTATAACCTAACCTAACATAATAAGTACCTATCGAAATATACGCAATATATGTATTTCAGAGGTCTAACAACGAAACACCTGCACTATATTAAAATCTTATTGCTTCTACCTATAACCTATTTGGTAATTTTCAACATGGATGGTGGATATCGTATAAACTATTCATCACATTAGTCGGTACTGTAGTAAATACGAAACTAATTGCCTCGGTGGTGTAGTGGCTAGCATGTACGGCTGCACACCCGGAGGTCCTGGGTTCGAGTCCCGGGTCGGGCCAAGTTTAGTTACTAAGTTTTTCTGTATAGTAAGTCTCAGTAATAGCCCGGAGTTAGGAAGTTGGCGGTGTTTCACCCCCGTTCCTCGGAGAGCACGTAAAGCCGTCGGTCCTGCGCCTAAACTCTCACTGGTCGTGTCGAGCAGTCGTCCCACCGGAGTATGAGAGTGATAGGAATAGAGAGTGCAATTGTGTCTGCGCGCACACTTGTGCACTATAATATCACCTGCGCAGTTGGCTAGTCTCAATGAGATTAGCCGCCGTGGCCGGAATCGGTCAGGAGAACATCATCATCATCAAATACGAAAGTTTGTATGTTCGTGTATGTTGTGTGTTTATTCGTCACTCCTAGCTGAAAGAGCTAGACAGATTTGGATAATATTTATAGTTTTATTATAAATACCTTTTTTATGTTGGGAAATGCATTTACGCATATACTATGACATAGACTATGACATGGGGTAACATATAAGCTAATTAAAAATGTAGTTGACAAAACCTAGAGTAGAGACGCGCACATTCTACACGAGACAAATCCTACATGGCATGGTAGACGGGCGTATAGTGCGAGGGTGGCACAAAGCGTGCCGGGGAGCGGGTGTGTCTATATTAATTACTTATTAAAGCGAAAGAATTTGTTTTATTGTAGTTTTAACGCCAGCGAAGCCGCGGAGTTTTGCTAATGTAATATAAATTGAATTCCTCACTGGTTTTTGAAAATTATTAATTTAAATTAAACAACAATATATTAATTAAATTATTATTACACTATTCAAAAAATCTAATATATATTTTTTACATTATTTTTGTCCCCATTTCTTGGAAACATCAATGTATTCACCATCTGGAGAATCATAGTTCTTGATTGGTGGGGTGGAATATGTACCACTGATAGTGTATGGAATTAGTTGTAAATCAGGCTGTAAATTAAAAAAAATATTATTATTATAGGTTCAGAAAATTGATGTGATTGAGTGAGAAAAGTAATAGAATAATGCCAGCTGTACACATTCTCTTGAGATATCACGAGACAGGCTAAGAGTGATTGTGTACATGGAGCTCTCTCTCGCTCTCTCTCGACTCGCCTCGCCACCTCTTGGTCGCGTGAACGAACATGTACACACTCATTTGTTTAGTTGCCTGCTAACTGTATTTACAAGAAGCAGCAGCAATATCCAAGTCCATCATGGCGGATACGGTGAACTGTATCTGTAGTTCATCTGATGCAATGAGTGTGTACATTGTGGCCTAGCTGTGAGCCTCGAAAGCATCAAAACCTTGAGAGTATAGGCGAGGGCTCTCGACTGTAGTGTACAGTCAGCATAAAAAAAATCCTATAACAAGTGATATGAATTGTTCAGTGTATGTATGGATTCATGGATTCTTAAGGTTTACAAAAGGCTATTCTTCTAAGCATTATTGTGTGTATAGCCATGAATTGCAAATAGTATGAATTATATAACTTATTTTAGGTATCTTTTTATTTGTAAAATCAATTTGTTTCTAATTGAAATTTGTCTAAGGAGGTACCCTTAGAGATTTCAACATAAAATTAAATATCTTAAGGCTACTTTTTCTTTACTAATTTACAACTTGAACATAATACAGTTATATCATTACGATATTATGCAGAAAGATATTTTTTGTAAAAGTAGACCAAAAACCTACTCATTTAAATATATTAAAATTGAGTTTTACCCACCATTATAGCTTCATTGTACAATTCCTCAGACTCTTCATACAGCTTGTCTAAAGCTCGTCTCTGAGATGCCATGATTCTATCAATTTGGGCTATGTTGGCCATATGCTCTTGTTTTTTATATCTAGTCCACTCTTTAATAAGTAATGCTCGGGCTTCTTTTTCTTCCTCTGATAGAACTAGTGCAGGTCTTTTACGTTTGCTGTAAAATATTTTTTTAATAAAATGCATGAAACCATAAACATATTATTTGATTATTTTTATAATTAAGAATACTGAAAAATAATACTTGAATCAGTACTTTATGAAATTATACATACACCAAGTTTATTTATAATTGACAATTAATTGCATTAACATGGCTTACAAAAAAAGTTGTATAAGAAACTTTTTCAAATTTAAATTACTAAGATATTAGCACAAAATTGAACTTATATAAATAGCATAGAACTTAAAAATAATCATACTTCATTTGATCTAAAATATGTAACGGAGGTTCCATTTCTTCAATTGGTTTAAGTTGTCTTGCATTTTTTTCTAATCTACGAATCTGTTTTTCTATTTTTTTCCGCCGCCTATCTTCACGAGCTTTTACAATGGCTGGGTCCATTTTTTTCTTTTTCTTCAATGGTTCAGCCCTGAAAATTAAATAATAGTTCTGATAATTTACAAATTATCGTAATATTTGTGCTTAACCACAAATAAGAATCTTATAATCATCATCAACTTAGCTAAGCTTAAAAGGCAACTAGTAAGTAGTAACTTGTATGGCAGAGTTAAGTGGTATAAAAATAACAATTATTGTTCGTACCATAAATTATCAGTTAACTTAAACTGTACAATAGCAGATGTAGCAATACTCCTTCCATTTATAGCTGTTTTGGTTGCTGAACTTATCGCCAAACTAAAAATAATGAAAATTACATCAAAATTCATAACTTTATCAAATAAGAAGAAGAAGAGGTTATTTTTAATAAACTATCGTTTACCGAGAAAATTGTCTTAAGATTTGTAAATTAAACATGTTGTAAAAATATATGAAGTATCACTCTATTAGAATAATTTAAACCCGAGGAGGGGTTTATTTAATTTATTAATATTAAAACTCGAATTCTTTGCAGTTTGTAGAATTGTCAATTATAAGTTGACGTTTAAATTCATGGTCCTGACAGTTGACGTTTATTGAGTCATCCATTCCATGGTCTTCACAATAATTTACATAGAATTTATTTTGTGCAATAATCGAACAGTAAATATAATTTGCTAATTGTGTATAAAAGTTAAATGTTTGTTTATTTTGCTACTCATTTACTTTGTAAAATAACACTTCACGTTACGTATTATATTGCATGTAAAGGAACGAACATAACGTTCCGTTTATTAGAAAATTATTGAATTACAAAAATACCCCATAAAACAATTCAATAAATTTTTAACCGACGCTACAGAAGATGACATATTTATAATTTTTATACTAGCGGCTCACCCTCGCTTCGCTCCGGTTCGTTGCTAGGTATGTTTTAAATAGATATAAATAGTTATTAGCCAGCGTTAGCCAAATATATCTTTTTTTTTCATTAATTTTCTGATGTTTTAATACTTATTATCCTATTCCGGACTAAGAGAAATCCAAAAAATCTAAAATTGGTCCAGCCGATCTTGAGTTGTAAATGGTGTAACTAACACGACTTTGTTAAAACAAAATCGTGTATATTTACCTTATTTTATATTTTTCTCTCTATTAAAACTTTCCGTGTAGGAACATACCATTTTTTTATCTGAATTGGTCGAGCCGTTCTCGAGTTTTGCGCTTATAAACATTCGTTTTTATTTATATAGATTATATTATTGTAGGTATCTAAACATAAAGTAGAACTACATTTACTCACGGCATAATAAGAATTTCAATTTATAAAAATACATAATGTAATCTATTTTTGAAGAATAGAATATTCTTTTATTTTATGGTCCTAGCGATTTTTTTTCATCTTACGAACCAAAATTATCTAGTCTGAGTTTGATCTACACCTATTTATAGAAAGATTTGATATATTATAATTATAGTAAATACCTTATATTTAAAAATATAAATACAAATCAATAGTAAATCTCATACTTTTTATATCTGAAATGTATTTCATTTCATCGATAAGGTCGAATTGCTAGCACATGCGGTTATAAGGAATAAGGATCGTTTTCCCCTTTATGGGTTAGACTCCAACAACTAGTCCAAAATGTACCTCATACATAATCAATCAAAAAAAAGACATCGGTGTTTTTATCGCGGCAAACATTCTTTAAAAGATAGATAATATAAGGTAACTTAAGAAGGCCTGAAATTTTGATTTTTTTCATGACACGATGTATTGCTTATACCACGGAATAAGTAAAAAAGGAATCAAAACCTTATGTTAATCTGTCGCGCTTGAGTAACTGCAAAAATCCTCTCTTGGACTCCCCTACAATTAAGATAAAGAAGAATAACTACACAATTAGATGCAACATACAAGCTTATTAATTACTAGCGACCTATGATGGTACCTACTTGACCTGACCTAGAAAGATGAAGTTTGGCAAGAAGCAATGAGTACCTAAAGGGGAAAATCCAAAAATCCGTAAATCCCGTAGTTCCTTGTAGTTACATCACATAAAAATAATTTTTTTAACGATTATAAACTTATTTTTATGGGTCATACTACAAACCTCTCGGTGCGCTAGTCAGACTCGCACTTGTCGTCCGATTTTTTATAAAAAGGTAGAAAATTTTATTTTGCCATTAGGTTTATTATAGACGCTGTTTATTAGAAACAGACGTATAATGATATCTATCTGTGTATGATGTATCCTAGAAGCTACTAAAAAGAATTGAATTAAATTGAACAGTAATATAGTAGTGGCCAGCCTACAATATTGTAAGATATGAATATCTAATAGGTAAATAAGTATTTTACGTTACATCGAAATATATTAGATTTGCTTTGCATGGGCTGGCACCGACTTCGAAAATATCTGATTAGGTATCTATTCTAAACTAAAACCTTCGTTTATGTTTTACATTTTAGTGCCTGGAAGTCAGTTTTTTTTTAAGTTTTTATTTGTACGGATGTACATCGATAACTTTAAGGTCTTTAAGCCGATTTGCGTGATTATTTTTTTACATCCATATAAATATAGTAATAATCTATTAAATAATGAGATTCGAAGATAGGCGGCGGAACTCCTTTACAAAGCGAACTAAATTATATAAATTCACTGTGATTAAAATATTTAAAAATATCCAAATATTTTTATATTACCTAAAATCAATAAATTATTTATTAAATTAAGTATTACTTTGTAATGATTACATATAAATTTCAATTTATTATATGTATATTAGTAGGTATTTCTAAGTAAATTATGTATAAATAAAATTAATGGCCCGGCTTAAAAAAATTAAAAGAAAAAATAACAATTTATTTTACTTTGTTGTGGCTTTTTCCTTTCGCACGGTCGAGTTGTGTATTTGGAAATTTAGTTTTTTTTTAAATTAATTTTTGTTCTTTTGATTAATCTATACAAATAAATAAAATTAATATGTCTGTTTCTAATGTCAAAAAACTTTTTACTAAATGCATATGAAAATATATAAGGTGCATATAAGAAAAAAAAACTTTTTTTAAAATTTTTGTCTGCCTGTTTGTTCCAGCTTATCTTCGAAACGGCTGGACAGATTTTAACGGGTCTTTCACTAGCAGATAGCTGATGTTATAAGGAGTAACTTGGGCTACTTAAATTTTAGAAAACGAATTAGGGTTCCGCGCAAAAAATTAAAACCTGTAAAATTGTGAACAAAATCGGCGTCCCCAGGGACGCACCCGAGCGAAGCGAGAATAAGACCCTAGTTCAATAATATATAATAAAAAAGGGGGAATCCTTAATACAAATGCTTTAATAATAGCTTTATAGCCTGACTCATTACTTGCGTTCATTTTATAAAAGTAAATTTGTATTCACTACGAAACGTACTTTACTATGTTGTATTATGAAACTATGTACCTAATGAGAATTTGTTACATTGCAAAGTACGATGTTTGTTTTAGAATTGCAATGGTTCTTTCGAAAAACAATCGAAATATAATAAAGACCATAAAGATTAATAAACGTTTTTTAATAATTTGCTTGTATCTTTCTATCTATCTTTTAATTTTATGGCATAAGAAAAACATTATTATGCCTTAACAATTTAGATAAAATATTTATTTGTCAAGCGAACCATTAAAATTAATTCAACCTCCTTTTTGTGTATTTAGGTTACACATTACGCATAATATGTAAATTATTTATAGGTATCTACTAATATTATAAAGAGGTAAAGTTTGTGAGATTGTAAGTTTGTGACGTTGTAGGAGGTAATCTCTGGATCTACTGAACCGATTCAGATGAAATTTGGTAAGAAGATAGTTTGAGACCCTGGGAAGGGCATAGGATACTTTTTATCCCGGAAATCATCCCTTAAGGGGGTCTGGATGAAATTTTTTATGGGGAATCAAGCTAGGGACGAACCCGAGCGAAGCGAGGGTGAGTCGCTAGTAATTAATAAGCTTGTATGTGGCATCTAATTGTGTAATTATTCTTCTTTCTCTTAATTGTAGGGGAGTCTATGAGGGGATTTTTGCAGTTACTCAAGCGCGACAGATTAACATAAGGGGGGATACCTCGAACTCTGATGAGTACTTCCACCGTTAAGGAAGCCCCTTACAATTACTCTCTGGTCTCTACAGTAGCTTAGTGATTTGAATATCTGAGTTTCGAATGTTATCTAATATTTAGAAAAACTAACCAAACGAATCCTGTCTTTAGTTGGATGCAGCCATTTTAACGTCCCATTGCTGGGAACAGACCTCCCTTAAATAGTTCCGTCTTTACTTATCTCCACTGAATTCGTAAGTACGATTCGATCGGTGACTATAACAAAAGTTTTCCTAGTTAAAAAAATAATGAAATAAAAATTTAACCCTTTTCTATTATATCCTTAAATGTCGAAATAAAAAGTAATCATCAAAAAAGCGAGGCTTTTATTTGATTTCTTTTTGCATTGGCTTGCGGAACCATAAAATGCAAATCTTCTCATTATAATAAACAAAACTTAACCTGTCGAGTTTATCCTCATGATGCGTAATATTTGTCTTCATCTCATTCTGTACCAAGAAACGATGGCATTGAAATGTGCCAACAGAAAGGTCCAGTTATTTCTAAACATCAAAAAAATTAGCGACTTGTCGACTTAAGAAGCTTTGTCGTTAAATAAAATCATGGAGTGGGTGCAAATGAATGGAAGTGTTTCTGATTTGTTGAATAAAAGTGATTTATTTGAAGTGTATAAAGCGAAAGAAACTCAGCAGGTCGTGATTTACAAAGTAGTGGCTTACATATTTGGGACTATTATCTTTCTTAGCAACCTAACTGTTGTTATTTCAAGTGGACTTATTTTAAGAAAAGGTCGGTTGTAAATTGTAATAAAGTTAGTCAAGTTTAATAGATTAATACACACCTCTATATATATATATATATATATATATATATATATATATATATATATATATATATATATATATATATATATAGTTATATGTAGCTATTGGCCGGGTTAATTAAATGCTAAGTTAAAGTTTTAAATTTATAGCAAAGATAGTTATTTTTTATATTGTATATACATATTGTATGTACATATATATTGTATATACATACAATGTTGTCGTAACTATTACGTTCTCTAAGAATCAAGATTTTCGTAACTACACATGGACTATCATCGTAGACATATGTAATTAATCATCTAAATGTATTATCGTAAAAAAACATTTGGTTTTTCATGACTCCAGAGCGAAAACCACAGATTTAGAACTCTATATCTGTGGTGAAAAAGTTAACACGAACCACTAATATAAATATATCCGTCATTGATTAAGTTTAATAGATAGGTGTATGTAATCCGCTAAACAATTTCGTAGTCATGACATAAAAAAAATTAGGGGTAGCACTCCATGCATATAATCGCCTCTCACCCCTCTAACTTTTGTAGTAATAGTAGTTTTTGGGTTGGAAAATTCTCAAAAAATGAGATAAAAGAGTTCACAAAATACTTTCAACGAAAATTATTTTAAAAACAATAATTAAGTACATAGAGTAGTTTTTGAGATATGAGATATTTTCAGTTTCACACGTTCAGCTGCTATGTTTTATTTATCATTTTACTCGTATTACTATGAAGTGCGAATCGCACGGTAATTTGAATATATTTATAACTAGCGATTTATGGCTGGCTTCCCAATACGAATTTTCATCCACATTTTCACCCCCTTAAGAGATGATTTCCGGGATAAAAAGTATCCTATCTCCTTGCCAGGGTCTCAAACTATCTTCTTACCAAATTTCATCTGAATCGGTTCAGTAGTTTCGGAGATTACCCCCTACACCCTTACAAACTCACAAACTTTACCTCTTTATAATATTTGTATAGAAATAAATATCATACAAAACTGCACTCTGCATGAAGCTCATTAATTCTCATCAAAACTTAAATCTATAGGAAATAAACGTATTTATTACGTATCTTATAAATGACTTACTAAAAGATAACATTGTTGAGAACTATGTGCGCTAATAAATGTCTAAATATATGGCTTCCTATATATGATACTTATGGGTTTTCCTCGAAGATAGGTGATAATTAATGTACAATGTATATATATGTTTATGTTAATGTTTATCTTGTAACATAAAGAAATTGAAAGTGCTGTAAAATTAATTAAGAATGAAGGCCGTTGTAATATTTATCATGATACCTATAAATGACTGCAGAGAATATTGTCTGAACAAATGGTAATAAGGTTTAGATTAATTTATATTTTAAGATAGAAACGATGGAGGGCGCTATTTTTTCAGTAAGTTGTTGAACTTTTAACTCGAATAGATATAAATATGACTGTAAAAAGAAAAACATTGCTGTTTTTCAATACATTTTTTAATTTCACTCGCAAAAGGTCGAGTAAAATCGTGGATAACAGATAGTGAATATTTTATAATAAGCTTTTGTAATTTTGATCAAACGTAAAAAAGTATAAGAAAGAACAAACAAATACTTGACAAAAAAGCTAGATGACAATATGTGATCGGTAATCGCTGGTGCCTGTGATAGGTACCTATTGTATACCCGCATCTGTTTCTGGGCATTTTAAATAAACTGGTCATACCTAATGGCACTAAAATTACATTTTGATGTAAAGATTTTATATACCAACTATTCTAGTCTTAGATATTATATTAAATTGAAATAATTACTATTAAATTGTTTGTTAGGTATCCATTTTTTTCGATTTAGTCAAGCCGTTCACTGATCCAAAGCGAATGCTAATATTATTTATTTAACTCGAAACAAAAAAAAGTCATGTAGATACTTACATATTAAATGCCAGTCAAGTCAAACAGAGATTTAATCTGGGAATGGAACTTCATAAGACATATTATTAAGAACTAAATTTCAAAGGTGTGTAAAGACCTAGTGTTTCTAAGCATAAGACAAAGCCCTTTTTCCACTCTACGCGCTCTAGCTCAAAACTGATCGTATAAAATCTTTTTTGCCTTTTATTAAATTTGTTCCTAATTGTATACTCTACAGCTTGTTAATTAATTAAATTTAGATATTACTTTGAGAAAAAGAAGCAAGATGTTAGTTTTCTAAAAACCAATTTTCGTATCCTTTGACATTTTGTGACGCGTATTTTTCATTTATTTATTTTTCATAAATGTGAGGAATTTTTCTATTGTTGTCACGCCTAATCTGCTGAACAGATTACGATTAAACTAAAAAGGACATAGATTCCATCAAAGGGCCGTAAATAACGTACTTTTTTCTACGATCTATTTTATCATTCAGCCCTGGGCAAAATATAGTAAGATTTAACATAACAAGTAACTAAAACAGATTTTTGTTTCAGGCCAACAATCCAAGAGCACCTACTTACTGCTCGGTAACATGTCCCTTGCAGATACTATCATTGGCATATCCATTATTTTTGGAGCTATATTAGAAAACCCTATGAGCTCTAATCCAATGTGTATATTTCAAACAGGTAACGCGATATTTTCGTGTTGTTAAATATAAATTTTAAACACATAAGAACTAAACAGCACATAAAATTCAGAAAGAATATGCCTCCGTTAACATTTATACAATATGGGTTTAATCAATAGGAAAAGAATTAAGTGAATAAATATTTATAATTATCTTTCTTTTAAGGAATGCTCGTGTGCCCAGCCATGGTATCAATATTCAGCGTGGGTCTGATAGCCGTCGACCGCTATATTTACATATTACACGGACTTTATTACCAAAGGTGGTTTAATACAACTAAAGTCCGAATTGGTATACTCTGCACTTGGCTGATCTGTAAGATAATTTCTGTTTAATTCTCATAATTAAAATTACTATCGTTAATGTTATGAAACAAACGGAAAAATAATATGTACAATCTTTAATAATATTACCATCATTTTTATTACGTTAATAAAATTCGAAAAATTACCTGCCAGTAAACAACACATTATCGGCTCGATAATGCTTTGTTTGCTGGTTACTTAAAGTTTGATTTTCGTAATATTTGTATATGTCTCGTAATACCATATTACATATCTTGTTGTTTTGTTAGTCAACGTGGCCATATAGTATATTCAATTATCAATGTCAGAAATGCTTATGAAACACAAAACTTAAGGTTATCGCTTAGATTATAAAACAGTCAATTATATATTAAAAGATATTATGTTGTTCTATTACAGGTATTATTCTAGGATTTTTTCCTGCGGTTGGCTGGGTGAATAATGAACTGAGGCATTCACGTTGTTACTATGTCTCTTTATTTCCGGGAGCTTTAGTATTACTCAATTCTCTTCTTAGTATAGTTCCTATTATTCTTGTTGCTGTACTTTACAGTATTATCTTAGTGAAAGCTCTAAAAAATGTGAAAGAAATTAAAGCGTCAGTCAAAATTGTGAACACAACCAACAATAAACCCGAACTACGAATTTATAGGGGAAATGGCCACAACAAAAACAATACACAGTCAGTTAAGGTCGGTATTCTTCAAAATACAGGATTAAAAAGAAGCGCTTCATTTAGTGGGAATTGCAGAAAGGATTTAGAAAATTTGAATTCTAATAATAATCTAAGCCATAAATTTAAAAGCAATGATAATCTTGACATCATAATAACTGATCAGGACAATTGTGTAACATTCCCAACCGACCAAAACAATGTACCCAATCAATATACTTATGAATCTAATATTAGTATTTACTCTATTAATTCAAGTGTACCTGAACAAAGTGATGCTGAAAACAAAAAGGATTTACACAAATTGAATATAGAAAATGGAAAAAGAAAGACACTGAAGAAAGGTCCAAACAAATGGCGAGCAATAATAATAGTGATGTTAACATCAGGCAGTTTTATATTTACATGGATGCCATTTTTCATAACTGTAATATTTTATGTATTTTGTCAAGAGAAACTTACAAATCCAAAATGTATACGGTTTCGTATGATGCTTGGTGGACCTATAGCTACCTTAGCATTTCTTAATAGTATTCTTAATCCATTGATTTATGCGTGGTGGCATAAAGGATTTCAAAGGTCTATCAGAATGTATTTTAGAAAATATATCTATAGACTTTTTCAAAAAGATGTGTTAAGATAATTTTTTATTTAGAAGTAGATAATAAATAATAATAATTTAGCTCTCTATTATTCTAAGTGTTATATTTGTTACTCTTAATTTATATTCATTTGCGAAAGGCCTCAATGTATTTTTATTATATTGAATGAAATAACAGAAATGTAATTTTATTTCTTTAATAGGTATAGTTTATTTATATTATATAATTGATCCTAAGGATTATAGCATGATGTTAGATAGCCTATAACCTCCCTCAATATAAAGGAAGAAAATAGCTTTTAAAATATAGGCAAATAAAATGCAAAAAAAAATTAATCCTTTATCGCTCAATATCAATATCTTTTGCTATTTATGTTACAAATAAAAGTACCATAAGAAACACAGATTCCGTTTTTTTTAATGATTAAAAGTCTTTAATGTATATGTTTAAGAATAGTAGCTACCTACTATTTTTGTTGTATACCACGAAGTATACCTACCTGTTTCACTTTGCTAAACTTATCGTATCGAAGGAAATGCTTAAAATATTGATAAGTGATGCATTAAATTACCAGTATAAATAATAAATAATCCACGATAACTAAGTAGTATTTCTTTATTATGTTTGCTTTGTAACTACAATAAAATTTTTAGCTCTTTTTTGAAACCTTGTTATGTAATAAATAAAGATAAGTACATTATCATCATCGCCACCCAATAAGTTTTATGAAACCTGATGTTTTATGAAAATGATAAAATAGCAGAAAATGTAGGTAGGTATATAATATCTTTTTTTATCAAACCTAATGGATTTTATTATCAAAAACATTTGTTTTAAATATTTACTTGTCTCAATTAGAATCCAAACCCACTACCTCCGGTTAACATCCTATGTCCTATGACATCTCTGTGTGATGTCTAAACTCTAAACAAAGAATGACGTATGCGGTATGCGTAATATAATCTGTCTTTATTTATTTTCTACAAACAGTGACCCCAATGTGATTTTCTATTGCAAATGATATATTTATATTTGCTTATACATATAAGGAAAGAAAAGGACATTCAATAGACAATCGTTATAAGCGTTTACTCTATATGTACCTATATATGGTAAGCTAGCTCTAAAACATTTAAAGCACAACAAAAAGCGGGTGGAAACTTGAAAGTAGATCATTATTTTCTTCGCACTCAACTACGACGTCCCGACGTAGAACTGTCGAAGCAGACCAAAGCAACCATGGGATTGCTCCAGTCGTCTACTCTGCTATCAGAGACGTACATAGAGCCACACGACCACCACCTACCAAGGTGGGCCCCCGTGCGTTTCTTCGGCTATCCAGCCGAACGCTAATGAGCCCCGTCCACCACGACAAGGACACAGCGGGGAAAGCTGGAAATTGACCTTCCCGAAATTACTATAACCAGGAATAGTAGGGCTGCCGGGTCTGTTAAATGCATTGTCCATTTATAGGGATTTGTCATAATCGCTAAGCAGGCGGCTTAGCGACAACCTTGGAATGAAAAGAGTTGTTGCAATGATCATTTAGGTACTATCGAATATAAGTACTTCTGCTACCAAACTGCTGATTACTACTCCATCAAATTAGATTGATAACTAAACCTTTTCTATTATAATAAACACATTTATAATTGTAAATCAATCTGTTATTATATAGTAGTCTTATCGGTCACTATTTGAAAATGCAAAAGTTTGTGTGTTCCTGACTAAATATTTAAAGAGGACCTAGTGGCTCATTCCATGGTCCACTCTTCGGAATTCAAAGATGTTAAAGTATGCTGGGTGGCAATTATCAAGGTCATGTTTTCATCATCATCAGGTCATCGCCACACTCTGACTCGAAGCATTCTTTCTGCACAAGGAGGAGCTTGTACATATTGCGTACAATAATTAAATTAAAGAAAATCTATAATTAAATTGTCTCTGTTTTTAATCTATTCAGAATTAAGATAACCGTAAGGCCGATAACGCTGCTAGATTACTGATGATAGAATATAGATATTATCGAGAATAGTTAGTGAACTGGCATTCGGCATTTTACTTTTGAATATGGCACGCTGGATCGCTTGTCTTTTCCTCCTCGTGGCGGTCGTTCAGGCCCGTCATGAAAAATATGAGGGGTAAGATTTACCAAAGCATTTTATATTTTACTCACTTTGACGAAATAGGAGGAGACTTCAGGGAACTTTTAAGTACCAAGTGTTTATATGTACATATAATAAAATAGTAACCAGACCAAATCTGGCCATGAAATATTTTTGAAAACAATTACTGTTACGTATTGTGTATAGAATATAGACCCCAAAAAATAGTTATTATTTTTTTTGTCTGTTTGTCTGTATGTCTGTATATCTGTGTGCAATTCATGCAAAAAGTATTGAACCGATTTTAACCAAATTTTTGTGATATCTTATTACTCAGGTCAACATTTAGGATACCTTTTAGTGTACGAAAATTTCATTTACAAGGGAAAACACAATAACTAATTCTGTCTAATCTTCCTTAGAAAACATGTCTAATGCTGGCTAAACATTAAGAGATAGTCTCTCTATCTAAGGTACACTCGCGGTAGCTATTTTTATTTATATAAAACGTACATAGGAACGCACCCGAGGTTAATTCGCTAGTTATTACTCAAAGAAGGCTATTTTAAAAGTCTGCTTTTAATAGTTGAGGGAAAGAGAATAATCATAATGGAAGAAGCGAGAAAAGTATGTAGAATTGGTAGGGTAATCAAAGAAGTGTCCAGGTTGATGTTAACAGCCTTTAGTATAATAAAGTCGTTTACGTACAATACTGTGCCACAACAATCATCTTTATGTACTTACTAAATTATAATTTGAAATACGTCCAACTTGAAAATTCTATTAATTTATTAATTTTAAATAATGTAAGTATAGAAATTAGACACATTATAAATGCAAAAGTGTGCTTGTGCCCAATGCCCGTATCACGTAGACATGGATGAAAATTATTTTTACTTAGAAATAATTTATGGGGCAAGAGAAACATTCAACATTTCGTTGCCGATACAAGATTTCTTAGAACATTCTACTTAAAAAAAAAGTTTATTTCTTTAAATATTTAAGGTGAAGTTACCTGATTGCAAGCAGAGCTTGTCCGTATTTCTTTAATAATAATATCTTTATTCACTTTTAGGCACCTGTTATATCGTGTATGGGGGTCTTCACAGCAAGTTGCTTCCCTGGAAGCTAGTTTAGATATCTTGTCGGCAAAACCTGCAGCTATATCTGCCTCTGGTACACTGGAAGCTTTGATTAGACTGTCTCCGGAGCAAAAGGATCAATGGACCACATACTTCAAAAGCAAACAAATGGGCTACAAGATGGTCTCGAATAACCTTGCTAGGTAAGTTTAAGAAGTACGTTTTAAAATTCATATAAGAAAAAGATATCTTCACATCACTTTACTCAAAACTCTGACTGATTCTTTTTAGTTCCCTTTAGTTTGTATTTAAATACTAGCTGAGCTGACCAAATAAACATTATCCTATATTCTTTGAATTCGTATAAAATAATAAGCCTTTGGAAAGAATCATTTTCAATTACAATTTTTAAAGATTTTGATGAATTTTCCAATTTTCCAGGCAACTTTTCTACATTTTTTCCTTTAAAATCTTATTCAGACAGTTACAAATCATAAAATTTGCAAAAGTGGTTTAGTCCTCAAGTTTTTTATTTTCTTCTCAATATTTTACAAAATATATTACCTTAGGGCACCATATTGATAATATTTAAAAAAAAAGAAATTATATGACAATAATACAAAAGTATCCGAACCCCTTTAGATAGATAACCCTGACGATAATTTGTTTAAATCAATTTTAATAATAAAAACAAATATTCACGAGTAAACTATAATTTTTCAGTATTCTCCGAGTTGAAGATTCAATGAATCGGAGATCAAGACAGGAAGCTGATAGTAGTAATAGCACTATTACCTGGGATGCATATTACAACACTGAAGAGGTAATACTAATTTTATTTATAGAACAATTTTTGTGGCTCCAGCCCAGCACCTGTAAAATCGACAAATACAGTTTGTTGAGCAATGTAATAAATATATATTAGAACTAGCATTATCCGCAGCTCCTCCCGGGTTCAGATGACCAAAAACCAAATTCTTTAGTTTTACATATTAGTATACTCTTACATTGCAGTTTTTGTATTTTTTCTAAGAAATGAGATATTTTCTCGTGGTAAAAAGTATCCTATATGTTGACCCGGATAACCAGCTATCACCATACCAAATTTCATGAAAATCCCTCCAGTGATTTTTCTGTGATGCGGTAACAGACAGACAAAAATTCTAAAAACTATAGATTCGGCCTCTGTATCGATAATAATGTTTATTTCAATAAGAATTTCCAAAAAATATTTAATATGCAGATTCGGCTTAATTACAATTTTATTATATGTCTAGATTTAATAAAATATTTAAATATTTTTAGATTAACAAATACATCGATGAGATTGGTGCTCAATATCCTGAGTTAGTTACAGTTATCAACGCTGGTTTAAGTTACGAAGGTCGTCAAATTAAGTACGTGAGGATCTCTACGAGTCGCTTTGAAGATCTCAATAAGCCTGTTATTGTTATTGACGCAGCTGTACACGCTAGAGAGTGGGTCACAGCACCAGTTGCTTTATACCTTATCGAACAGCTGGTCAGTGGCGCTGACCCAGAACTAGTAAATCGCCTTGACTGGATCATTATTCCTATGGTCAACCCAGATGGTTACGAATACACAATAAATGAGGTAATGTCATAAGTCATAACACCTTTAATAATTATTTTTTTTGGTTATAGCCTAGATAAATAAAATCAAGTTTGTATTTCAAAACGTTTTGTAGCCTTTACTAAACTCCATACTGATCTTGACCTATTCCATGTTGTATTGTCGAAAGAGGTATTCAAATAAGTCTATATTCAAGAGAAATTCTTAAGAATATTCTAGGTACCTACCTACCTAGCTACCTATCCACCTAGGCCTATACAAGGCAATCTTTAAAAAGTAGACAATTGCTAGTATGACTTATACGCGAAGAGTTCCGTACTACTAAATACGACTTTAAGTTATATTATAAATCACGTAATTTCTTAAATTGTATTGTAAATAAATCTGCTCAAGTAAACCCAACAAATGGCAATGAAATTCTAAGTAGTCTGTTTGAATAATGTATTTTTTCAAGTAGGTGGGTGCGGTTGGCCAATTCCGGAACACAACACTGCCGTAGTGTGTGGAATAAATTATTAATATATTATTGAAACCCTCTTATTTGGTTCATTATTTAAGGAGTTAATTTTTACTTATAGGATCGTTTATGGCGCAAAACTCGTTCTAAGGCTCACGAAGGTGCTGACGAATGCCCCGGTGTTGATGGTAATCGCAACTACGACTTTTTCTGGGGTATGTAAAGATTTCAGTACCCTTTTTAAATTCTTTTCTAAAATGTTTTTTTTAATTTAACCAAATATTTATTGAAGTACCTACCTGATTTTACGGGGTGGCCTTAGCGCCATGGTCTTATTACTATCTAAACTAATATTATAAAGAGGTAAAGTTTGTGAGTTTGTGACGTCGTAGGGGGTAATCACTGGATCTACTGAACCGATTTAGATGAAATTTAGCAAGAAGATAATTTGAGACCTTGAGAAAGCATAGGATACTTTTTATCCCGTAAATCATCCATTAAGGGGGTAAAAATGGGGATGAAAGTTTGTCCCGAGAAGTAAGCTAGGGACGAACCCGAGCGAAGCGAGGTGAGTCGCTAGTGTATTATAAAATTTTCTATTATTATCATGTCAATTTTATTTATGGATAATTGCAGGTACCCGCGAAGCTTCAGCCGACCCCTGCTCTATCATATATGAAGGACCTACTCCTTTCTCTGAACCAGAAACCCGCATTGTCAGGGATGCCGTTTTATCCAATTTAGAACGTACTGCTCTATATATATCACTACACAGTTATGGCAATATGTTCTTGTACTCTTGGGGAAATGACGGTTGGTATTGTTATATTTATTTTATTTACCTTATTATAAAGAGATAATTAAAATACCAAATTGTAAAACATGTAGGTTTTTCGCATGTTGAGAATAAATAATCTTTGGAAATATAACTAAACTATATTAAGCTTACATTAAGTACTTGAAAAACATAAAGAAAATCTGTTAAGTCATCTCAGACATGCAGATTTCCTCACAATATTTTTCTCACCGTATTAACAAATGGTAATTATTTTGGAAATGATTCGCTCATGAAAATATCAGAGGTGCGAGACAATTGAAATCGTTTAACTGGTTGAGTTTTCTATGCGAGAGCGTTGCCAATGGGCTCCCACTGCTTAGTTCCACTTTAAATATTTGCAAAAATCTTGAGCTTGATATTTTAGTGGTAATTACAACAAATTATATTAACGTCTCTGTTGTCGTAAAAACCTGTTTTACTTTATATATTGTCAATCCCTAACTAATTTAGTATCAATAATATTACCCGTACATCGCAAAATAGTAAACATTCTTTGATAAAAAAATTTATTATTCCTAGGTACGCTTCCACCAAATGCTTTGGTGCTTCATGTAGGTGGTATTAGAATGGCAACTGCGATCGACAAGCTTAAGCTCGATAAAGCCAAACCTTACATTGTAGGCAACGCGGCCCAGGTCCTGTATTACAGTACCGGCACCTCTCGGGACTGGACCCGGGGTGTGGGAATTCCCCTGACTTACACCATGGAACTTCCCGGATATGAATATGATTTTGTTGTACCACCAACCTATATTAAGCAAATTGTCACCGAATCTTGGGCAGGCATCGCTGAAGGAGCACATTATGTTCTATACTTGTATCAATAGAAAGTATTCGAAATGTTAAATAAATTGTATATAATTCATTGAGTTTTTTATAATTACACTTTTGTATTTTTACATAATACCTCCACAATATCCAAAACGTTTAACGATGTTTCTGAACACGAGATATCTTATGCGAAGAAAAGTTTTCACAGTTTTGGATATGATTAATCTTATATTTACAAACTTTGTTACAAATATTATAAATACGGTATCGTATACGTATCTTGGTACGTTACAAACTCAACGCTTAAACCCATGAACCAATAGCAATGACATTTTGTCCTTACTTGGACTAAAAGACATTCTGCAAAAAAAAAGATGGAATTCTTTCAAATATGCGAAATTTTTTAAATGAAATTACCTAAGTATCTACTAAAATTTCCTAATAAATCTATACAAATATAGACCCCAAAACCATAGTTGTTAATTTTGATACTGTTGTCATGAGCGATACACGAGGAGGTTTGTGTATTTTTGTAAATATTTTGTTCAAAATGCCTGAACTATGAAACTCTTCAAACTTCAAACAAAACTGTTTTTGTACGCATACATGACTAACGCTGGCTAAACCTTAAGAGACATATTCATCAAAACAATTTACGTACTAGAAATACCTAAGGTACACTCTAAAAACTATTTTTATCCATTAAAACGTACCAGGGATGCACTTATACGAGTATAATACCATGAAAAACTGACAATTAATTGATGAGACGCTGAAAGTAATAGCACTATTATTTAAGATGATAATTATAATATTATAATTTTCTACATAATAAAAATAAATATTTACTATATGTTCAAAGAAAGAAAATGTTAAATAGCCCATTGTCTTATAAAAACAGTACATAAATAGATAGAAACATATTGTGTGTTTTAAAGTAGATATTTTAGTATCGGCATTGTTTTTGCTTATTACATTGAAATTTTATTTTATTGCTTGTTAAATTGATTTAGCAGCATATTTCTTACACCATACTTCTTAACGCCATTGCCTTCGTGCAGAGGAGTTACAAGTACCTACTTAGCAACGAGAGAAATCATATCTTTTGATTTCGCACTTCAACTTCACCGTCAATTTGACTTGAATTTAATTTTGAATTTTGATTTAAATTTTTATATATTAATGAAATAGGAAACTATCAGCCTGACCTCGTCACAGTTATCAAGGCCGGCTTAAGCTACGAGAATCATCAAATTAGGTGCGTGAGGATCTCTACGAACTACTTGAAAGACCTTCACAATCCTGGTATTATATTATAGATGCAACTGAACATAGTAATGAGTTGGTCACAACTCTACTATTGTTTGTTTGTTTCATACATAATAGAACTTATAAGATCCTTAACGCAATACTTAAATGGAAATATGACATTACTGAACTGTTTTATTATTGCAACGCTTCTAAAGAAAACAAAAAATAAATAAAAATCAGCAATACTTAAAAAATAATGGAAATAAATTTAGTATAATGATTGCATGCTCAAGCAAGCTAGTCGATAGTGCCGACAAGAAACTTTAAGAATTTATCAGCATTCAGCTGGTTCATAATATCTAAAATCAACCAGAGAACGACTTCGAATATATTAAATGAGGTAAGATCGCCTTCAAAGATTGAAAACTGCTCATTATGTACGTGACTTATGATTTAAAAACAGATAATGTAAACAATGAAATGGAAGGATATTGTTAAAGTGTGATTTAATTGTTATAAATATTTATTCATTCAAATATAGGTATATCTTCAATATTATGTTCACTACAATATTTAATTGTGATCCGAGCCACCTGTGGCTCCGCCTGCTTTGACAGGTTATCATACCAAAAAATCATTCTTCACAAGGTGACAATCACGGTTGGATCAACAGTCCGTACTTAAGTTAGATACTTATGTAAAAGTACTAATAATAAATCTTTAGGTACTTATATACTTATTACTTATAATCTATACTAATATTATAAAGAGGTAAATTTTGTGAGTTTCTGATGTTGTAGGGGGTAATCGATTGAGATGAAATTTGGTAAGAAGATAGTTTGAGACCCTGGGTAGGATAAAGGATACTTTTTATGCCGGAAATCATCCCTTAAGGGGGTGAAAATGGGGATGAAAGTTTGTATTGGGAAGCAAGACAGGGAAGAACCCGAGCGAAGCGAGGGTGAGTCGCTAGTCTCTAATATATAGGTACCTTTGCAATATTTGATAGTTGGTCAACAGATTAGTTTGGAGACAAATGTATAGTCTAATTAACTTTTTTTGGTTGATGCCGAATTATTTAAATGTGCACATTGTGATATTTAAGTAGGTGTAATAGTAGGGGAGCCCAAGAGGGGATTTTCTGTAGTTACTCGAGCGCGGCAGATTAACATAAAAGAGGTTACCTTGCACTCTATTGAGTACTTTCAACACAATATAAGTCTTCTATATAAAGGGGCGCGTCTAGGGAAGCCAATTAAAATATTTAAAAATGTTTTGATAAGGTAGAAATACTTGAAACCGTCAGATTAAGGTGTGGTAGGCTAGTCACATCCTGAAAAGTGTCCAATTTAATAATCTGCCGATTTGCGCAAGCCTAAGAGGCAAAAATCATCATAAACTTTATAGTCGATTTTCTGGATGTGACTAGCCTACCACACCTTAATCTGACGGTTTCAAGTATTTCTACCTTATCAAAACATTTTTTAAATATTTTAATCGGCTTCCCTAGACGCGCCCCTTTATATAGAAGACTTATATTATGGTGAAAGTACTCAATAGAGTGCAAGGTAACCTCTTTTATGTTAATCTGCCGCGCTTGAGTAACTACAAAAATCCTCTCTTGGGCTCCCCTATTATAAGTACCTACTAAAATACTTAAATTATAATTAACAAATAAAAACTCTATTTCTGCGGTGATTCTTTCTAAGGCTGTTTAGGCAAAACTGGTAAAGCATATTTAACAATAATTTTTCCCGATTTCAATAATAGTCATTATGATTTCTAACATTTAGCACATTTTCTTTGAAATGAAAAATATCCTATAGCACTCGGCGGTAATGAACGTACTTAGCTTCCTGTTAATGAAATAATTTTTTGAATCGGTTCAGTAGTTTCAGAGATTAGCCCCTACATTCAAACTTATAAACTTTACCTCTTAATATTAAATAGTATAGAATATAGAGTGTAATTAAACGAGATATTTGTAAACCAACAGCATGTTCACAATACCGAACGGACACTATATTATGTTCTTAGAACAGATATCATTGATGTTTACAAAACGAAAGTTAGGTACAACATCATTTTAAGTCTATTTTACAAAGAGAAGAGACAAGTCTAGATCAAAAGTAAAACGATGTTGTTTAAAGTTTTTTTTAAGTATATCGTCATATGTTGGGTTCTAACTAAAAGTACGAGTGGTGTTAAATTTTTACGTACAATTGAAGCTATAGGTATTCCATTTTATAAAATATCCTTAAAGCTTGGAACGTGTCAAGGTATATTTTACATTATTATTACAATGTGGTATTTACAATAATGAAATTACAATTTATTTATTTCACAAATAATATATATAATTTAAAGTAAATATGTTGTTAAAAAAATACTTTTTATTTCTAGACTACATTCTTTTCTCCGAACAGAAAGCATGGCCTATCGCTCGTATGAATAGAATTTTGGATATATATTACAGAAGTGAAATCAGTAAGTTTTTCATGTACCTACTATCTTTCTATTTATTGTAAAATACATTAAAATCAAAATATTTACATAATAAATAATAATATAAAGTCAAAAGTTTCTTAGGGCGAGATTCATATATCGTACTTACACTTTAAAACAAAATTCTACTTTTAGCAAAAAAGAAAAAGCATTAATTATATTGGTTACTTTGGAATCAAAGTACCTATACTCTGAATCGACTCCCCGAATAATTTACATAACAGCATACGTCAATATGAAATTTTAGCAAAAAAACTCATTTATGTAAATTTATTCAGGTTATTATGCTTTTAAAAGAAATATGTCATAGTAGGGAAATGTTAACTATATTTACAACTGAGTAAATAAAATTATTGAAAGTTTTCGGAATGCAAAGTACACAGTTAAAGTAAATTAAGTTACGACTACAAATGTTACCCTTAAGCTTTGAGACATGTTTATTGTTTATTCTTAATGCTTTAACAGTAAATGATTTGTTTGTAATTCGGAATGGATGTCTGATATCTCCGTACTTATAGATTTTCACTAACTAAAACTAGTACCTACGTTACCACTTATCTATGTATAATAAATGTTGCATTGGAATTTGAATTATAATAATAACTCTTTGTCTATGACCTACGAGTATGTCTGTGAAGTGTGAACGGTACCTACTGTCACAAATATTTATTACTCGACTGCAAGGCGAAGGGTTATGTTTTTCGCGCCTATATTTGTATGTTTGTTTGTTTGTTTGTTTGTTTGTAATATTTTTATTCCCTCATATCTTCGAAACCATTCGATGGTTTTTTTTTTAAATTAAGGTATCGTTAGATTCGTCTCATTAATCCAAGTGTTCTTAGATAGGTGATATAAAAAAAATATGGGGCCACTAGATTTCATTGTTTAAGGTGCAATTTTTTAATCTTCTTTTTCTGCAATATGAGTATCAAATTAAAGGTATAACATCCCTGCATTAGTCATTTTAAATAACAGTTTAGATTATACATTTAAAGTTGGTTAAACAACTATTCTGGCTAATTTTCCTACTTATGAAACATGTTTTTTTTTTTTATAATTAATTTTTATTTTTATAACGTGAGGTTTTTTTATTTTTATAATATACTTTTTTCTCGAAGAAAAGACTTATTCAAATGTGAGTAGGTCTCATGTTTTAAAGGGTTCCATTCAATATAGGCAGTGATAGCCCAGTGGTAATGCGCTCAATTGGGAAACCGAGTAAAGCGAGTTCAAACCCGGGACTCACGCCTCTGATATTTTCATATGCCAATCATATTCCAACATGATTACCACTAGTCTCACGAGTCATGGTGAAGGAAAAGTAAAAAAAGTAATCCTTATCATCTTTTATTATTAATTCTTAGATACTCAGTAGTTAGTTTTATTATTTTATTTTTAATAGTAATTATTTTTAGGTGAAATTACGGTATCGTCTGTGGAAATAAATTTAGTTATAAACAATACAGACTGTTTGGGTTACTCTAACACTGGCGTCGGCTCACCGGAATTCACCGCTACAATATTTTTATCAACCAACATGGCAGTTGTGTTTTATAGTTTAAACATATATACATGTGATCAATATTTTAACCAAAATATGCCTGCTAAAAAAACATAAATAAAGCCTATCTTACCGTTTTACACTCATTTAAGAAAGCCAAAATATTAATTTATACTTAACTGTACTGTTAATAACATACCTACCATTATTATTTATTACTTAAAACATCATCACGATAATATTCAACAGAGCGCGATCTTTAACAATTACGATTCCAACCGCTACCTGCCCTACTTTTAGTTTTAATGTAATAATATTGTTTATTTATTAAATATAATATTGTCGATGATCTTTGCCTCAACAAAAATAAAAAAATATACATAGAATAACAAAAAACGTCCAAGTGACATTTCTAAGAATCTAAAACATCTGTTACTGAAGCGAAGCGTCAGCCGTCAAGCTCAAGCGACAGTAAAACGGAACGTTATGTTTATTTACGTGCCCAAGTCAATCACACGCAAATCACAATAGTCATTACGCACAAAAGCAAAATTTTTAGTGTAATGATCTTATAATCTTGAAGATGTTGTGGTACCTGCCATGGTCTGAAAGCATCAAGAAAAGAGCCTGCAGATATTTACTTCAACGCTACTTGGGTAATTTTCTTGAAGAAAAACTCACTTTAGCACAGCTGAGTGTCGATCTTTACAATGGAACTGGTACCGTTTCAGACGTTAGCCTTGACTGCGAGGTAATCAATTTTTGTATTTCATAAATTAGGCTAAAGCTTATCAAGTCAAATCAATGTATTGCGCGTGGTATATTGTTTGTATCATACTTGTCCTTGCCAATAAAAAGTGCGCTTAAATTTTATGCAAAATAGCACGTGTATGCTGTTAGTATTAACAAAGGAACTTAACATTTTCCTAGTTTATTGTTATTTTAGATTTACCTATTTTTGAATTGTTTAGGCATGCAACTTTTAAACTTATGTTAATAAATCTTGTATTTCAAAGGTTAATTCTCTGAATTTATTTGTGATTGCAAACAATCGAAACACTATTTCATTTTATTTAGGAACTAAATTTATTTCAAACAATAAAGTGAAATAAAAAATATTATACTACCTATAATATTATTTAATATATTTCTTATTATATCTAGAATCTAAAAATGTTAGTAATATTTTTAATGAAAACTAAATTCTAATTAGAATTTTATCAAACATGATTTTAGGCTCTTAATGAATTGGGAGACTCTCAAAACTGGCCACTTGAAATAGTGGATGGGCACGTGAGAGAGATCACAGTGACTGTCCCTTGGTCTACTATACTTAAAGATGATTCCATTGTGGAAATTAATGGCCTCTTACTTACAGTGCAGCCAAAAGTGCGAGCTGAGCCAGGTACCTATTTAACATTATATTAAAATGCAACATAAACTTATTTTATTTTTATAATTGTATTTTATATATATGCCTTACTTATTTAGATATTTTTTTGATTTCTCAAGACATCTGATTTTGATATGTAATTAATACATAAATTTGTGTTAGAACACATATAAAGAATAACAAATAAAACAATTTTTAACAGATTTTTTAACATTGTTATATTTTTTATTAGTCATAATATAATCATGTAATATATTAATTTAATATTTTTTATAGTATCATCCATGTTGGAATCTATGTGGTCTTCTATGTCCTCTTCCATGCAATTAGCAGCAGAATGTCTACAAGAAGAATCTGGTCCTCAAGAATCAAATCCTGTTGAAGGCATTGAAATGTTTGCACATGCTATAGATTCAAGTAATTTATTATTATTACTTAACCTCTATACTATGGCTCTTAAGTTATTTGCTAGAATATTTTTACAAATGTTATAAAGTAACAATGTTAGCAGTATATTATTATGTTTGTTCATTTTTCCATTCCTATATTATTTAGTCCAAATAAGTACATATATTTTCTTGTCTTTATTTAAATTTAAAATAAAATAATTATATTATAATTTACAGTTTTAAGCAGAGTGAAAGTAAAATTTGTTAACACAAAATTAAGAATAGAACATGTCCCTAAAAATGGAGACCATGGCATTGCTTTAGAAGTTCACATCAAACAGTAAGTCAAAATATGTTTTATAATCAATTCTTAATATTTTGCTATTTTTAATCAATAATCATATTTTTTTTTCAGTATTGATTATTTTGACGAAGCAGGATCTGAACCATTGCCAGAAGTAACAGATCCTGAAAAAACAAAAACATACATCGTTGCTACATATACTAACAAAAAAATCCAATTTAATGGTGTCACATTTTATATGGATGAATTCCCTTCAAAACTCCGTACTATGGCACCTAGTTTAATTATGGAAAAATCTACATCAGCATCTACTCAAGCTGATAAATCCGAAGCAAACTCAGTAGAGTCGCCAGATTCAAATTATCAAAGTACTATGTCAGATATTTTTTATGAAACAAGAAGTGTTATTTCAACAATAGATTCGGATCCTATTAAAGAGATAATTGAAGAAAGGCATACTGAATCAACACGAGAAAGTACCCCAGAAGAGAAAACTAGTCATCCTGATCCTATATTATTTGCAAAGTTAACTGGCCAGCAAGAACTGGCTTTAAAATTAAAACATTCAGAAGAAGTTGAGGGTCCCAAAGTGGAGGTGAAGATATTACTAGGATCCTTCCTTATATTTTTTACTCCAAGACAATTACATACCTTGCTTGAACTTGTTGATGCATTAAACCAACCACATTTAGAAGATACAAGGTATGTTATGGTTTTATGCTTCTTTTTTCATTGCATAAAATCTGTAAATATTTTAGGCTAGATTTACCCTTTTTCACTTAGTTTATATATATAATTTATCTTACATTTGTAAAACAATCATAAAAGAATAATGCAAAGAGATTGATATATGTTTTTTATTCTGGCAGATTAAATTGTTTCCATATTTCAGTACAAGATATGCAATGTACACATGACATGAGTAAAACAGAAGTAAGAATAGATTAATTAATGTTTTTTTGGGTATGATTTCTTTGCAGTAATATACCAGTTCGACCAACTGGCATCCAACAATGCAAACCAATGAAACAGGCAGATTTTCAATTAATAGAGGCACAGTTGCTCGGAAACTTAGAAAAGCAACATTCCAAACCTCCGGGCATGTACGGCTGGTCTGGACCTAGCTTTGGTATGTATATACATAAATAACAGTATATATATATATATATATATATATATATATATATATATATATATAAATAATATCCTTTCCACTACAAAACTATATACATAATCATGATATACTTGAATGGCAATAATCAGCAAAATCAGAAAAAGAAACCTGGTTTTGCTTGTTATTGCTATTTTGGTAGTAATATTGACTACTTGAAGGCAGTGGTAGGCCAATGGTAATGCTTAGGAAAGTGTGAAAGTGATCTTACACCGCTGATAATTTCATTGATGATGATGATCATTTCCAACATGATCACCAACATGTCTTTCGGTGAAGGAAAACATTATAGGGAAAACTGCGTGTCTGACAGGACCTAACAAGATTTCCAAAGTTAAGTGAAGTCCACCAACTAGCACTTGACCAACGGCGTGGTGGACTATGGCCTGATTCCTCTTGTATTAAAGAGAGACCTGTGCCCAGTATGTAGTAGGACGTTAAACAGGGCTGAATACATTGACTACTTTGTACATTTGTAATGTACAGTTAGGCATATCTATACTTAATATTATAAAAAGGCAGAGTTTGTTTGTTTGATCGCGCTAATCTCTCTATTTTTGCATTAAATAGCCCGTTTATTGACGAAGGTTTTAGGCTATATATTATCCCGGAAAATGTAGAGTTCCCGTGGGACAGATTTGTTTTTGTCTAAGGACAAACCCGAAGCGAAGCGAGGGTGAGTCGCTAGTTTATCATAAGAGTGCCGGTAGCAATATCTTAGACAATAAGATCATTGACTGATAAAATATTTACTTAAATTGATGTCAATTTCTATTGATCATAATATATTGATAAGATAATGTCCGTACACGTGGTAATATTATAGATAGTAATAATTAAAAATAATAATATTGTTTATTGTACACACAAAAATAACACAGAAAAATACAGAGTAGTTGGAAAAAGTACAAGAGCTTAATGCTAAAAATATTCTTCATTTCTTCCGGATAACCCTAATACCCAGAAGGGGTGCGAATATTAAATAAATATATAGTAGTTGTTTTAGCTACTTACTATTATATTTCATAAATACTGAAAACAATGTGAAAAATAAATAACGTTTGGTTTTTGGTAAAAGTGAAATATTGTTAGTTAAATTTAAATAGTCTTACAGTGAAGGAAAACATCGTGAGGAAACCTGCATGTCTGAGAGAACCTAGCAAGTTTTCAAAAGACATGTGTAGTCCGCCAACCCGCACTTGGTCAGCGTAGTGGACTATGACCTGAATCCTCGTATTGAAGGGAGGCTCACGCCCAGCAGTGGGACATTAAAAAAAGGGCTGAACACATACATACAAAAGTGAAATAAATCGTAAAATTTAATCACACTTATAAATGCATAAGTTGTCTAAATAAGTTTTGAAGTGAAACTTCTTTACAATTGTTGTGATTTGAAACTCGATGAAATGGAAATGCAACTCTAAAAAGAGACAAACACGAATATATAGGAATAAGCCGGCGAGAGAATGAGATAGAATACATTACCATGTTGCAATTTTAACCGTTATTTGAGATACATTACACAGGAAGTGAAAAATAATTAAATTAATTACTGAATAACATGTAATGTATATTTATGTCAAATAAAATGTAAAATAACCTTTAAACTTGGTAAAAATATTAAAAAAAATTAACCTTATAATTATCCCACTCCTGATACTCTATGTTCATATCATTCTCTCGTAGGTTACTTTTCTGAAGTTTCACTTCTAGCATGTGTGAATTGCACACACACGCAGTTTTTTTGTTTCTAATAACCTATTTTGTTTCGGTATATTACCATTATATTTTTGCTTATTCCTAACTTTACTATATTTATTTTATTAAACCACATTTGCAGAGGACAGCGATGCAGAGAGCGACAAGTTCCTACCGATGACGTCGCAGGGCAACCAGATGACGGAGAGCTTCACCTCTTCAGTCAGCTCCATGACCACCAGCATGATGTCCAGCTTCAACATACCTAGCAGCCAGCCGAGGGTCAAACGGAATAAGAAAGGCATGGCATCCTTACTAATATTATAAAAGTGTAGTACTCTGTATGTTGGGTTAAGATGGATGATCATAGTAAGAAACTAGCGACTTCACTTCTCTACGCGGATTTGTTCACAATTTCATGGGTTTCAATTTTTCTATGCGGAACCTTGATTTTTAAATTAAAAGTAGTCTAAGTACTCCTTGTAACATCAGCTATCTGCCAGTGAAAGTCAATTCAAAATCGGTCCAGCCGTTTTGGAGATTAGCCGGAACAAATAGACAAACAAAAATAAAAAAGATTATTTTCTTATAACTACATAGTAGTTTTTTTCTTATAAGTGTAGACGACAGGATAATGCTTTCAGTGATGTACAAATGTGTCCCTAACAGTGTGTTTGTTACATTGTTTCCCTGCAATTACTTTTTACTTACAGGATTCATATGAATGTCAATAAATGAAAATATATGGTATATATTAGATTTACAACTTGGGCTATAATAGTTTTTGTTTTCGACAGTACCACACATTGATGGAGACCCTACAGCTGAAGCCTCCCATATCAGTCTGAGGATAGCATCATTCTCTTGCGTGCTTCTGCATAAGGTATATTTTGAAGATTTATATTTAATAAACAACATTTTTTGATCATTTTTTGTCACTGTGTACAAATTAATAATAATTTAATTATAAGCATAATAAAGACTTTGTTAAATCTGCCTTTATATTGAAAATACAACAGCTAAATTATTCAAACACGCTTACTAGTATCGTAGTTTCTTTTCCATAAATTCATTCCGTAATAAAGATCCACATCTTCTTTTATATAATATTTAACATTTCAAATTAAATAAATAAATTCTTATTTGACATTATTTTTGTAGGTAGAATTAATAATGATTTCCCTAGCCCCTGCGCACATAACAACTGTATTGCAGGAGCCAATATCATCCCCATATAATTACTGATAGATTTATGCCAACAGAATGATAACAGTACAAACTACGAATAACACCTAATAATAATTTAGCACAAAAAATTGCCTTAGAAACGTTTAAGTTTATCTAAATTTTTATTTTCTTGTATTCTTTCCTTTCTTTCTTTTCCTTTTTATTCTTGTATTCTATTCAGCTCTTTTTAACGTCCCACTGTTGGGCGCGGGCTTCTCTTCAATATGAAGGGAATCAAGCCATAGTCCACCACTCTGGTCAAGTGCGGGCGGACTGAGCATGTCTTTCGATAACTTGCTAGGTTCTCTCAGACATGGAGGTTTCCTCACAATGTTTTCCTTCACCGTAATTTTCTTTTACAGGATATTTTAATTCCTACGCCCTTGTCGACGGATTGCATCGCCCCCTCTTCAGCTACAAAGTTACAACACATCTCTACAGAATTCTTCAACCGTATAGAAACATTTAGTAAATTTGACGAAAAGAGGGACTTGACTACAATCAATGACGCTTTAGATACAGCGACCGATATAGACCATTTAAGGTAATTATTTTTAGAATATCATTTTTTTTTAATGAAAAACTGATATTCTGTTTCTTTTTTTGGCTTCGTTTTTGTTTTTTATAAACAACTAGCAGTACCCGCAGCTTCGCCCGCGTCCAAACTTCCGATTGTTAACAAATTCACAGGATCACCTGCTGGGCTAATCTGAAGATTATCCGAAAATTTCACCAAAATCGCTCCAGCTGTTTTGGAGTCCATAAGAAACATACATACACACATCGATTTTTATTTTATTTAATCAAAAATTTAAATTTATTTATTACTCGGAAAATGGAGTCTTTTATGAAAATTTAGTGACACACCGACTGCAGTGCCACCTAACGGATCCATTTGTGAATTCAAACCATCCAGGCATCCACTGAAATATACACACAAAATTTCAACTTAATCGGTCCAGCCATTTAGGAGGAGTTGGTGACTAACACACGTACAGAAGATTTATATAGGTATATTTTAAGATATATATATCAAAATCATATCAAATTATTCTGCTGACATGACTGCATTTAAAGACCAATAATTACAACACGAATTTGCTGGGATCGTAGGGACGTCGATAAAAACTATTATTATCTCATACTAAACTTGGTTTTTGAGTCCGTAGGGATCATCACACATCGATTTTTACATATAGAAATATGACTGTATTCAGCCCTTTTTATTGTCCCACTGCTGGGCACGGGCCTCCCTTCAATACGTGGGGGGATCAGGCCATAGTCCACCACGCTGGCCGAGTGCGGGTTGGCGGACTTCACATGTCTTTCGAAAACTTGCTAGGTTCTCTCAGACATGCAGGTTTTCTCACGATGTTTTCCTTCACCGTAAGGCAAGCGGTAATCATGTTACAAATGATTCGCACATGAAAATATCAGAGGTGCGAGACCCGGGATTTGAACCCGCTTCACTCGGTGTCCCAAGCGAGCGTGTTACCACTGGGCTACCACTGCCTTATAATATATTATATGAAATATGATTAATCAAAGTAAAATAATTTTGCAGAGTGTTAACATCGGAAATAAGCTTGGATGGCAGTGAGAAAGTAACGACACACGGGAGCCAGACCATGTGCGAGGCGGCCGTCAAGTACGCGCTCGTCAGGGAGTGTCTCTACGTGCAGGAGGAAGATACGGACGACGTTAAACCGCAAAAGTTTGATTTGATATGGTTTGATAATAAAGGTAAATTAAATTTTAGTACTCTCTAGCGGTGAAGGAAAACATCGTGAGGAAACCTGCATGTCTGAGAGAACCTAGCAAGTTTTCAAAAGATATGTGAAGTCCGCCAACCCGCACTCGGCCAGCGTGGTGGACTACGGCCTGATCCCCCTCGTATTGAAGGGAGGCCCGTGCCCAGCATTGGGACGTTAAAAAGGGCTGAATACATACATTCTCTAGCGATTTACCGTCTCCTCGCTCGGGTGCGTCCCTAGGTACGATTTAATTTTTTCGTGACGAATCCTAATTCTTTTCTAAAATAAAAGTAGCCTGAGTTAGTTATTCCTTATTACATCAGTTACCAGTTTCAAGTATCAGTAGCCAGTAGTTTCAGGTAGTAGTAGTGAAAACCCCGTCTTAATCAGTCCAGCAGTTTCGTAGATTATCTGGAACATACATTTTAAAAATTGTGTTTTTCTTATAACTATGTGTGACTATGTATTCAGCCTCATTCAGGCCTCCATTTAATACGAGGGGGATAGGCCATAGTCCACCGCTGCTACCACTGCCTTATATATATATATATATATATATATATATATATATATATATATATATATATATATATAAGTAATACTTTACCTTTTTTAAATCGATTTTTTTTTTGTTGTAGATGAAGAAGAAAGTGCAAGTGTGACATCTAAATCAAATTTACGGATTAATTTCAAACAAACATCAAAGTATATGCGAGTATCCGGTGAAAAGAAATTAGTTTATCCTACAACAGATATAGTGTAAGTTTTTATTTTAATAACTTACTAGTTATTTTTATGCTCTATTCTTAAATATATTTTTTCATCTGTCTTTCATTCTTGGTTTGTAAAGTTATATATGGATTATTTTAATTATTATTGATATAATTTTAATTTCAGAAATATTAGATGTTATATTATTTAATAAATTTATATAATCATCACCAATATATGACCTGAAATACATGACCTGAAAAGAATGATTCGGGAGCACACGCGGCGTTCTTGCTAACCAAACGCACACTGACCTCAATAGAATATAATAATTTACGTGTGATTTGTAAAAATTTATAACTAACAAAAATCATTACTTTATGAACATTGATATATAAAATATTTCCTAATAATATCTCTTCAAAAAGTGGCGTCATGTGATGTTAAGTCAAACCAAAGAATAAAATTCAAAAATCGAGAGTTCAAATTCCGAACTTACGCACACCACATAAAGTATTTTTTTAAACGACACAACGTACGTTTTAATTTTGTCATTCGAAAAGCAATGAACAAAAGAGATATGAAAAAAGCGCATAATTTCAAATTATATACTTCTTTTTAAAGACAATTTTGAGACGCTTATTATGTATCTTGAGTTTTTATATATCAATGGTCATAAAATAAATAGTTATATGTATTTAAACAGGTTAAAATGCACTCCATTCACGATAGACGTGGAGTTGACTCTGTTAGAGCGTATGTCGGCGACTTTCTTCGGCGGTGGAAGTAGGAGCGGCCCCAACTCGCCACCCGGACAGAACCAACTTAATGTGACCTTGCAGTGTCCTGATGTCAATATTATACTCAGGTATCATAGAATATATTATAGCACTATATTTGTAATATTCATATTGTTGTGTGCCAGTTTGAAGGATAAGGTAGCCAACGCAATTACAGGAAAGAGGTCCTCACAGTGACAACGCACCTGCAGTTCTGCATTTTTGTAACATAAAACCTAAGTGTATGAACCACAGGTGTTATGGGTGACAGGTGCTGATTTCCATCAGGTGGGATGCCTGCTCGTTTGTCACTGAATACCATAAAAAAATGTCCTAAGCTATTTTGTTTATATCAATCTCAGGGTGATTATCAACTGGGTGTGATACATTATAGTGCAAGTGTTCTTTTTATACGTTTCAATCCTAATTTTGGTTGACTGCGATACATGCGGTGGGAGATAAGGTGCAGCACCGATATAACGTGCTGCCCCAGACACTAGGGTGTACAAACTGCCAACTTTTTATCTCTGGGCTGCTGCTAAGTTTTGTTGACAGGAAAGCCCAGTAACTATTTTAACTCAACCCGGATTAAACATCTAGAACACTATCTACTAAGTCGAACTACTATTACTATAAATACGAAACATTCTGCTTGTATGTGTATATATACATATATATACATACATATGTATGTTTATACGTATGTATGTTTAATCGTAAGTTTGATATTCTTGTAAGTTTAATACATAGAAAGACCTAGAGTAACACATAGGCTACTGTCATGCACCTAAGGATGCATCCGAGCAAAACAAGAGTAACATGCTACTAGTTCACAATAGACAAAACAAAATCAGTATTATCTCAACTAGCGACTCACCCTCCCTTCGCTCGGGTTTGTTCCTAGGTATGTTTTAAATTAAAATAGATATAGTATGTTATCCTTAAGAGATAGGCATATACTATCGCGGACTTTTTTGTAGAACTATATAAGATACACAATTTTACCATACATTATTTTGCTATATCTCGACAGGTTTAGGCAGCTCCCAGACGACTTATTTTTTCCGACACCTCCAACAAATATATTTATATTTTAGCTAATGTATACAAAAACTTAACAAATCATATACTAAAACCTTCCTCGAGAACCACTCTATCTATTGGTGAAAACAGCATGAAAATCGGTGCAGCAGTTTTTGAGTTCATCGAGAACAGACAGACAGACAGACGTGGCGGAGGACTTTGTTTTATAATATGTAGTGATATGGAGTTATTCACCTCCCAGATTCCCAGTGGCGGACCTGCGCGCGCACGCGCCCCGCGCCGCGCGCCGCGTGCGCGCCGACCACCTGGTGTTCAAGCTGTGCAACGCGCTGGCGGGCGTGCAGCAGGCGGCCAGCGCGCGACCGCAGCCCACCACGCTCACTATCAAGAGCACTACGTTGGACTTGTACTATCATGTGAGTATCTTATTTATTTGTTTTTAGGATCAACAACAAAATATACAGTACAAACAAAAACAAACCTACACCACGGAAACCGTACATTCTTTCCGGGATAAAAAATAGCCTATGTGTTATTCCAAACTATAATCTATCTCTGTGCCAAATTTCATCCAGATCCGTCCAGCCGTTCTGGCGTGAAAAAGTAACAAACATCAATACTCACAAACTTTCACATTTATAATATTAATACGGAAATACGGAATTTAACAAAAATACACAGTTGTACAAAGCCGGTCTAAAACTGTTATCATATTATAACATGATCTCAAAAATGGCACCAAATACTTTACTATATTTGTTGATTTCATACCTTACAATATTTATTGATTATATTTTTGAAATCATTTTTGTAAAATTGTGGATAGGCACTGTCTGTTACAAGTATATAACGACTTTGAGGCGTCTAAAACCTTAGTCTCTCTTGTGACGATGATTGCTGTAAAGCATTCGAAACGTCGGACACCAAAAATCAAAATAAATCCGCGAAATAATCCGAAAAGATAGTTTTATTTAAAATATTATATAATCTTTGTTCCAATAAAGGAAAATGAACATTTGCCTGCTACCCACATAGCACAGACGACAATGGATGACACTTCATTTGGAGCAGACATCCTTAAAGGCAACACGACGTCTCCTTTACCCATGTAAGTCAAATAAATGTATACAAAAATCTAGATTTTTTTAGAATTTTTAATCTGCCGTCGTACTAAATGAAACTTATCTGTTTTTAACACAAAAGCAATTAATTAATTATTTGTTTTTCATTACCAAAAAAAACAAAATGAATTAATTACGTATACGTAAAATAAATTCACTAAAAGTACGAGATAAAATTTGTGTAATTGAGTTGCGGTAATGCTCGCTCTTTATTGCTGTAATTCAGAATTTATTTTTCGAATTTATTATTTGTTCTAATTAAAAAAATCGTCGTACTAATCTGAATCTTAAGTCTTACTTTGTGTATTTTTCAATAAATTTTATCATAAATTTTAACTGCAAAAATATTTAAATAATTATTAAATGTATTATTGAAAAAAAATCACTCTTTAATAGGATATCCATAACTTTCCAACCGAAAGATTCAAGCAAGGGTCCCTTCGACTCCCTCCACGAAGAGTTGAACTTCGAACCCAAAGCACCGAACCCCATGACAACGTCTATGTACATTATGGACAATCTACGCAGCGCTCTACCCAGTCCTTTTAGTGGGAAAAAGATGGCGCATCAGAGTATAAGCAAACACGAAAACAATCAACAAGGTTAATTATTGTAATTATATTTAATTTCTCTCATTTCTCTAGTCTAATTCATATGAAAACAGGTAATTTCTGACACTTAATTTAGTTATTTTTGTCCAAATACAATACTGATTAAATTACCAATGATTATTATTGTCACATTTCTTTATTTCTAAATAAATCTATTACATATAATAAAAGTGTAATTTATCGATGTCTGTAAAGGAAAATTATTTGAGAAAAACTATTATTAGGGATCTTTATTAACGCAATAGGTCCCAAAACAATGATTTTTAGAATTTTCGTCTGTTTGTCTGTGCGTTTGTTCGCGCTAATCTCATAAACGACTTAACCGATTTGGGTGCGAAACGTCGGGAATCAAAAATCTAAATAAATTCGCGAAAAATTCTAATAAATAAAAAAAATAGTTTTATTTAATGTAATTTTTTTCGTAGGTCAAGAAGAAGAAATAATAGTCCCAGGAACTGAGGAAGAGATGGCAGAGTTCACAAACAGCTCTGTAGAGAATTCTGCCATACATCTCGAATTCAATCTTCCCATACTTAGCTTACAGCTTGAGTTAGTACCAGTTATATCTTTAATTTATTTTTAATGATGTTATAGTTGGTAGACTAGTGGTAATGCGCTCACCTGGTAAACCAATTGAAGCGGATTCAAGTTCTTGGTCTCGCACCATATTTTCATCTGCGAGTTATTACCGACATCATTACCACTTGTCTTACGTTTAAGGGAAACATGGTAAGGAAACCTGCATGTTTGAGAGGACCTAGCAAGCTTACGAAAGATAATATATGAAGTCTGTCCGCACTCGGCCAGCGTGGTGGACGATGGCTTGATCCCCTTTGTATTGAAGTGAGGCCCGTGCCCCGTAGTGGCATTTTAAAACGTGCTGAGTACAATACAATATTAAACTTATTACAGACGATGTCTACGCACATAAAGCTAAACGGTTTTTTCTTCTTTTTTAAAAGTGTGAAAGTTCTATAAACAAATATATTTTAATGTTTTATAACTGTGTAATGTGTTTGTCTTTATTTATAATAAATTAATACAATTTTCCTTATTTGATACATCTTCTAGATCTAAACAGCTATACGAGATAATTTACAATCGTATTAACTCGGACCTCTTGCTATGGGAACCGCAACTGCATCAATTCGACATCAACCCTCACATATCTTCCCCCATATACCCTTCCTTTGGACTTTGCAAAGGGATGGGAGATGGTAAATATGGTTTTATCAATTTTATAAATGCTTAAAAATAATATAAAAGCTCTATTCTTTAGTTTTCCTTATTTTATTTTGTGGAATTAAATTTACTTTTAGAGAAACAAAGTAAAGAATTTGCACATGTTCCATTCTACACTCGGCTTTATTTATTTATTAAATTTTGTTTAATAGTCTAACTTGAATTGATAGCTAAGTTTTTAGTGAAGCTTGTCCTGGTAGAATAAATTCAATTTTTATATACATCATGCAGTCCTACTAATATTATAAATGTGAAAGTTTGTGAGGATGGATCGATTCCAGAACGGCTGAACGGATTTTAAAGAAATTTGGCACCGAGACAGATATAGTCCGGAATAGCACATAGGTTTTTATTTTATTTTTATCCGGAAAAGTGTACGGTTGCCGTGGGATAGATTTGTTTTTGTCTAGAGACGAACCCGAAGCAAAGCGTGGGTGAGTCGCTAGTCTCATATAAAGTGGCGTTCGCGATTATCTTGTTGCTGCACACTAAATTATACTTAAATAGTCTCATTCAAAAGCTTATAAAATATTCTATATTCTTATAGACTCTGACTCTGAAACTTCATCTTCTGAAGAAGAAAATTTATATTACTCCACATACGATAATAAATTGAAAAAAGGTATCGGAAATACACGACCCTTGCCAGAGAATAAGGAGAGTGAGATGCATAACTTCTGTCTCACTCTCAAAGTGGGTAAAGGGCTGATGACCATCTATGCACCAGTGAGAGTAAGTTTGTTTACTATCATTTTTACCTCACCTAGGCGAAATTCAGTTAAACTTATGTGATTGACCTGCTAGTAATTACTTAAGGAGGTTAACCGATTTTGATAATTCATACGTCATTAAATTCGGAATCAAAATGGTGGATCTTATCATGCATGAGTAATATGCTATCGGAGGCATACATACACATAAAAAAAGAGATTTAAAAAAAAAATTCAATTTCGAATTGTGCATTTTATTTAAGGACACCTGAGTTTTTGTATATCATTTTTTTATAGGATAGCTCTCATTATTTTTATAAATTTATAACTTATGATTTATTCCCAGGATAGTAACAAGCGTGTAGTGCCAGGACAGATGGGAGAGCTTGTGTTGGAAGCCAACAAGCTGTCTATGTGTCAAGTGAGCGGTCTCAACGGCCGGGCAAAGACCGCGCAACTGTGTCTGCGTGCGGGAAAAGCCACCTTGTATCATGAACGTGAGAGTTTATTTTTGTTTGTCACTTTTAAATTGCCTTCATTTCTGTGTCCTTTTTTACCTTATTTATAAAATGTTTAACATATTGCTTTCATAATACATGACTTAAGAACGTAGATATGTAATTATTTCATTAGGGAATATACATAAATGCAATAATACTTCTAAGTTCTAACCAAGAAAGTATGGTTTTATAAAAAAAAAGGAAAATTGCGATATAAGAGGTTATTATATTATTATATGTATGAGTTATGTTGAAATAGTAACAAAAAGTTATCACATCAGTAAAAGCTTGAATTAACTTTTGGCAAAGGGTAATAATTCAGCTGGTGCTGCTAAGACTGAAATCTCAAACAGCGCTGATTTTTAGTACACCAAGCTCCCTAGGGTGTTGAGCGGGAGCAAAGCAAGAGGTTATTTCTCCAGTTCCACAGGAGTCAGAAAGAAACCCCAATTGAAACAAAGCAATAAGTTTTTTTTTAAAGTGTGTGTGCGTGTGAACATATGTGTGTGTATGTTAGTGTGTGTAATAAATAATAATATTATTGTTTTTATTTTAGCTCTATTAACAATACCATCAGAAAAACCTAATCTTAGACTGTATGGAACAACTTTGCCGATGCATCTGAAGAGTACAATATATCCATCCGGCAAGGGCATGGTGATAAAGGCTCGGTTACCGAAGAAAGATATGTTCACAATGGCGCTTAAAACTGAGCCGGACACGGAAACACCTAATTTGAAGGTTTTTTTTATATAATATTTTAATCTCTTATATATACTAATATATTAAAATGTCAAAAAAGGTATTGCTCTGTGTGTTTGTTTATTGTGTTGAATGCATTAGAAAGTCTATTTATTGAAGTAGGCTGTCTAACATATTATGTTGCTTAGTGTGCAGATCATATTTGAATGCGAACTAGTAATATTATAAGTGCATTTTTTTACTTATTTTTCATTACTTTATCAAAGCATCTATCAAAATCGAAATAAATTAACTGTTTTATTAGTGTAATACAAAAAGTGAATGCTTGGGCCCTGGAGCTGGTGGAGTTGTTATCATAATATTTTTAATAATCTATTATTTTTTATTTGTTGCAATAACAAAATAAAATTACTTTGAAAATACACATTAATATTTTTTGATTTGTCCATTTTTAACGTAACAGTGAAACTATGTATCAACATGTTTTTTTTTTTATACATAAAATAGTTTTATATCGAAGAATAACATAGACTTCTATTTATGCAAATAGTCGCAAAGCAGATGCGTGTATTAATTTTATAGAAATATTCGGTACTTTGATTCGGTACATGACGACACGTTTGGCTCAGTTTGTAGTGACCCTACTTGCTGCGCCAGCGGTCGCGGGTTCGAGTCCCGCTGGGGGCATTCATTTGTGTGATGAGCACGAATGTCTGTACTCCAGTCATGTGTGTTTATATTTATAATATGTATGTATTTAAAGTTATATATGTGTAGTGTATCAACTATCTGGTATCCATAAAACAAGTCTCATAGCTTACCATGGAACTAGATGGTGTTGTGTGCTAATGTTCCAAAATATTTATTTATTTTTATTTCCGTACACAGACAATCTGCATAGCGCTGGGCATAGAGCAGGCGACGCTGCGCCACCGCGGCGACGCGGGCGTGGCGTGGCTCGGACAGCTCATGGACGTGCTGGACGTGCTGGACTACCCCGTGCCCGGCTACACGCCCACGCCCGTGCTCTCCGAGCTGCACGTCCACGTGTGGGACTGCGCCGTGGACTACCGGTACACACACATATATATACCCACACACATACATACCCACTTTACAAATTTTGGCCACGGAGATTAATCTCAATGAGACTAGCCATCTGCACTGCAGATGTGCACAAAAATGCTTAAACACCGCCACGCGCCAACTTCCAAACTCCGCCCTGAATTAAACTTGGCTCGGCCCGGATCACGAACCTAAGAACTCCGGACCTGCATACGTACATGCTATTTGTTAGAACACCGAGAGTTACACGTGCATATGCACGCACACACATACACTATTCGTGACGTTGAGCAGGATCAATACCAACAGATTGAAATTATATTTAATGTGTCAGTTTTGGACCCGTTTTCTTTTAGTTTTAGTTGAGAAATATACTCGTATATCACTTACTAAAAACATTAGATTTCTTGCGATGACCGTAATTCACACATATAATATATTTTGAATATTGAAAATGTGTGTTGTTTAGTAATACATGTCTGTAAAATCTAGTTATCAATCTAACTCCACGGAAATGAAAAAAATATATATTGAAGTTCCACAATATAGTCCTTTACTCTAATAAATAACTAAAAAAATATATTGTTACAGACCATTATATCTGCCAATACGAACGGTAGTTACTTTGGGAAACTTTAGTGTATCCAGCAATTTGATCCCAGAAACAAACACGTCGTATCTTCGTTTCTTAGCGCAAGAGTGCTCTCTCTTCCTCTTTTACCTGACTGGGGCTAAAGCGAACGCGGCCGTGCCCCAAGACGATGATAAAACACCAGACATAAATAAGGACTATGTTTGTGTAGTTGATGTGGGGCTGTTCGAACTGTCATTACGAATGGAAGATAAAAACAATAGTGTAAGTTTGTTCACTTTTTTAATTAAATGTTTTTATTTTTTTTAATTCTATTATTCTATAACTTTTAAACATAATGTAAACGATTGTTCCTCTATCATCCCATCACGAATCAACTACTGAATGTATTGGTATGGGACTTTGACCAATCAATGCGGCATCGCCACTAGGTGGTTTTAGGCTATTTATTTTTTGAATACCATACACTTCACTATTTTTATTTACTTTCATGAATATAATATCTCGCTTATAATAACAAAAGACGTAACACTTTATTTATTATTATGATTATATTTATTTAACCAATTTTTTTTATTTTTAAAAGAAACCTAGATACATACATTAGAATCTCTAAATAACAAAAAATATATAACGCCTCATTTGACTGCTATAATATAGTTACGAAAGTTTGTATGTTGTGTATATTTGTTACTCCTTCAGTCAAACGACCAGCCCCAGGTGGACCTGACAGCGTCTAACAACATGGTCAATTTGTACACATGTTGGGACTCCGCCTCGGCTCTTTGCAGGCTGGTCACCTATGTCGCCTCAGACGGGGACTCGCAGCCTCCCTTCAACAGATCGCGACAAACTAGCATATGTTCTGATCAACCCTTGGAACCTTTAGTTGGTAAGTAATCTTGTATGGAACAGTAAAAAGTTATGATAATTTTTAGTCAAGTGATATATTTGTTTTTAGTTGTAGTTTTGTAAAGTCTTTAGTGTGCTTAACTCATTAACATTGGCATTTGAAAATTCTTGTCTTTTAAAGCTTTAACTTTACACTACCAGAGTAGTATATATATCTGAATATTGTAGTTATTTCTGCCAATTTCTAAAACATATGTATTTATTTTATTGCTTCCACGACGGCGATAATTCTAATTAGGTAACCATTTAATTCAAATAAATGTATTTTTATGATTTATTCTTAGGGTTGGAAGATCGACCTTTAATAGAAGAAATAAGAGAGTTATCGCCGAGTGAAATTCAGCAGGTGAACGATTTAATGGCCGAAGCTATGAAAGAAAGCCCCAATAACACAAGTAAGTTATTTCTTGCGTATAGACATAATTTAAAAATGCTTATCCTAACGTAATATATTTTAGCAGGTTATGTTTACTATCCTCCTAATACTTTCTTAGATTTAGCAAATATGTAACATTTTAAATAAAACTATCTTTTCGGTTTTTTTCACGAATTAATTTAAAAAATTAAATAAATATTTGCATATTCAATTATAAAACTTATTAAAATTATAAATAATGTTTAATTAAATTAACAAATATTGTAAAGTACTTGATGCCATTTTTATATTTTTTGGAATCATTTTGTAATTTTGTGGGTAGGCACTATCTGTAACAACTATATTATGTGCTTTGAGACGCCTAAAATCTTAGTCTCTCCCGTGATTGCTGTAAAGCAATCATAACGTCGGGTACCAAAAATCAAAATAATACGCGAAAAATCCGAAAAGAGTTTTATTAAAATACTTTTCTCTTGTTATTATTATTATTTTATTTCATTGCAGTGGAAGAAGACGAACTAAACAGCTCAACAGAGAAAGATGGTGTAGAGGTATTCTTCTTCCCAGACGAATCCAATATGAAGCAAAAGCAACCTTCGGATACCATAGACACTGACGCCGAACCTAAATCCATAGAGTATGAGGAGTTTCCAATAATTCAAACTGAAGAAGTGCAAGACATTAAACCAACAAATTCCCAAGTGGCTAAAGACCTCGGTGACCCGACTACTACTCCGAAATCTACTCCACGCAAGTCTAAACGGAAAAAGGTATTATAAAAAAATATGCGTTACGTTTTAATGTTTAGTATATAGATTTCTCAGAGATGAGATATTTTCCGACAGTAAAAAGTATCCTATATGTTGACCCGGATAACCCACTGTAATCATACCCCTCAAAATCTGTCCAGTGGTTTTCTCTAATTTTAAACATATTCGTTAAATGCAATTAATTTGTGTAGGGGTTTTTTTAAATTTTTAATTTGTAATTATATTATCTTTAAAGAATAGCTAAGTTAATATACAATTTTTGGGAATAATATATGAATAACAAAAATAATACTATATTCTTTTGAATTTTTGAAGCATTAGTTCCTTTCTTCTTGCACTAGACATAGCATAATAATATAAACGGCACTCACTTCGCTTGGTTCGCTCTATAAGTAAAATACGTATGGTTTACGCATATGTATAGCATTAAAATGAAAAAACGATATTTGACTTTAATTAAAAATTTCAAATTAATTATGAGTTCAAACTTTATGTATTATATGAATAAGGTATATTTTTAAAAAATAGGTAAAGTCAACGGGCGAAGGCAGCAACACAGACGACGAGTACTGCATAGTGGAGGAGCAGCCCTACGCGCAGGACAACGAGATGGACGAGCCCGCCGTGACCTGGCTCAACGGCCCCGTCTACATGGTGGACAACCACTTCACGCTGCCCGCTGCACGCTCCGACGTGCTCAAGGCTCCTAAGAGCTTCCCTCTGCCGGTGCTTAGGTGAGCTAGATACTTTGTTTACTTTGTATTATAACACTATGGCACATTTCAATTTAATCATTTATTATTTATTGTGTTTAAAGGTTCTGGGTCTGTGATATCTGAGTCTATAGGTACTCGAAGATAGGCAGATTTACTAAGACATGTAAATTTCGAAATATACGTCATTATCGTGACTTGAACTACTCTCGCATTGAAGGAAGACTCATGCCCAGCAGTGGGACGCTAAAAATAATTGAGCGAAAGTGTTACCTACACTAAGATTTGTTTCTAAGTTTTATTTTGAAAATAAGAAAATGCAAACCACCTTTAAAAATAACATTGGTTATAGTACAAATATTTTAGCTGATCTAAATGAATTTAAAATGATATTTATATATTTTTCTTTAATTTTAGATATACTTTATGTGAAATGAGTCTAACGTGGAACATGTATGGGGGAAGTGACTTCCGACAGCCAAACGACTCTGCCATTACAAAGAAGACCGTCACAATTGATGATTCAAGGAAACAGGGGTCACCTACAATATCCAAGTAAGATGATTTGATCATATTATAATATAAATGTGAAATGCTGTCTTTCTGTTACGTTTTCATGCCTACACCGCTGAACCAATTTTGATGAACTTTTATATAGAGATGGATAGTACCTTGGAGAAGGACGTAGGCTACTTTTTATCGCAAAAATGAAACTTAAATGTTGTGAAATAGGGGTTGAAAATTTCTATAACTGTTTAAGCTGTTAGTTGAGTTATAAAATAACTCAACTGCCAGTTTTCTTTTTACTTCAATTAAAATCACACGGCACTGATGTAGCGAGCTTTTTCTCAATGTAATAATTTTCAGAATCGGTCTAGTAGTATCAGAGATTACCCCCTACATCAAAACTCACAAACATTACCTCTTTATAACAATAGTGTAAATCAATTTTATTATTTAGCTGTTTTTTTTCTCTTTTTTTTTGAATGTACTCTACATTTAAAAAAATCTTTAAAATAAAATTGTTTATTCTATAAGTTATCACAATAGTGTAACCTAACTTTGTGCTCAAAATATATTTTCATTATCTTTGTAACACTGTAAGATTACCATTCACCAGGAAAAGAAAGCTTGAAAGGCTGACTGAACTCAGACTCAATGGCAAAACCCTTAACCTATCAAACGAGGTAAAGTACCTTGCAGTAACTATTGATCAAAAGTTGACCTGGAACTCTCACCTCAACAACATTATAAAAAGAGGCCAAAATGGCCCTTTGGATATGTTGTCGAATGGCTGGAGCAAAGTGGGGTCTCAAACCCAAAATGGCTCTCTCTGTACACCGCTGTGGTAAGGCCGATCATAACATACGCCTCAGTCGTATGGTGTAACAAAACCAAACAAAAGACAACTATAAGTAAACCAGACAGTGTGCAACGGATGGCATGTCTAATTATCACGGAAGCCTTTCATTCGGCACCAGGAGACGCTCTAAATGCTTTGTTGGACATAGCTCCGCTATATCTTCACGTGCAAAAAGAAGCTAAATCCTGCCTCTACAGGCTCTGTACACAACCGAATGTAAGGTTGCAATCGCAATATATGAACAAACTCAAAGAGTTGACATTCGAACATAAAACTCTAAAAATGCCAGTGGATGGCATGAGCACAGAGTTTAACTTCACAAAACAGTACCAAATAGATCTTCCCAACCGAGACATGTGGCTAAAAGACCTAGAGTCTAACAAAAAGGGCAGTCATGTTTGGTTTACAGACGGATCCAAGAAAGGATCTGATGTAGGGTGCGGTATCTATGGCCTTAAGCCTAGATTTAACATGAGTTTCAATCTGGGCAAAGAGGCCACCATCTTTCAAGCAGAGGTCTTCGTCATTAACAAATATGCTGAAGTCATCCTGGTAAGAAAGCTTAAGAACCAAAATATCTACATCAACTCAGATAGCCAAGCAGCACTTTTGGCTATAGATTCTCTTGAGACCAACTCTAAGTTGGTCAAAGACTGTATGGATAATCTGAATGTCCTGGGCACATCCAACAGAGTTACCCTCAGATGGGTCCCGGGTCACTCAGGTATAGACGGGAATGAAAAGGCTGATGCTTTGGCAAGAAGGGGCGCTGAAACCCCAGAATTTGGCCCCGAGCCATTTTGTGGTATTTCCAAACAACATGCCTATTCAATTCTCAAAAACCACTGCAATCTCAAAGCACTTCAAGAGTGGCAATCCACTTCTGGACAAATACACTCTAAAGCGCTAATTAAGGGATATCGCAAAACCTTTACAAAAGAGTTGCTTCAACTCAACAATTATAAAACCAGTGCGGTAACCAGAATACTTACTGGTCACAGCAAACTCAATAAACATATGTTTACCGTCGGCCTCAGTCAGACCGCAATGTGCAGACTATGCCATGAGACAGAGGAAACAGTTTAGCAGTTACTGCTATGCACATCCTCTGCTCGTGCGGTCCACTCATGCACCGCAGAAGTATCTATCTAGGGCAGCATATTATGCAACCGGAAGAGATACAGATGTTCCCCGCTCAGAAAATCTGGAAGTTCCTGGAGTCAACAGGACTAAGCGGAGAACTTTAATTCATTCCAAAGGGAGCTACAATGGACCATAACTGGTCGACGTAGCTAGGGCCGACCTCGGCACCACACCCCAAAAATAAATAATAAATAAATAATAACACTGTAAGATTACCAAATAAATAATAACATAATAAATAAAATAAAAAATAAAAAATTTGTTACCAATTGCGTTTAGGTAATTATTCTAGTTAACATTAATGCACATTTTTCTTTCTTTTGAACCCAACTACTTATACATATCTTTGAGACTTTCTGTATGTGTTTATAAGTGTGTTTACTTATCTATGTAAATCTATATATCTACATAACTATATGTGTCCTAACTTTTGTAAATGTATATTTCTCTATCTATATGTGTATGTAGCATAAAATAATAATTAGTTTATGTTAGTAGTATCTAGTACTTTTTTTTAATCGATGCATAATACATGCAATGCGTGATTCGTCCAGCCGCAGCAAGGAGTACGAGCCGTACGAGACGGGGCGCGGCCTCCGCGCGGGCGTGGCGTGGGCCGCCGGCGCCGAGCGCGTGCGCGCGCCCGCCGCGCCCGCCGCGCCCGCCGCGCCCGCCTCGCCGCGCCGCGACCACCACACCTGCGTCAAGCTGTGTCTCACCAAGGTCGACTTTTTTTTAATGTTGAGAAATGCATTTACGCATACCACCTGTAGACATACAGGTGGTTATGTGGGACTCGCCAACTCACCAAGGTCGACTATGCAACCCCTTTTAACGTCCCACTGCTGGGCATGGACCTCCCGATACGGGGAGGTTGAACTGTCGAGTCGTCCTTAGAAATTTATATGGCTAACGCTGGCTTAACGTTTAGAGATACATGAAAACAATGTATCCACAAGGAAATTTTAGGTCTTAAAACGCTACGAAAAGTTACTTGATATCGAAAAGCTTGCGATATCAAGTATCTATTTCCTAAGATACGTGCACAATAACTATTTTTATCTATATAAAAAGTACCTAGGGACGCACCCGAGCAAAACGAGGGTATCTCGCCAGTTTATAATAATATTAAAATGGTATATGTATGTACAGGTAAAGTTCCAACACGAGGTGTACCCGGCGGGCGGCACGCAGGCGTCGCGCCAGACGCTGGCCGTGGCCAAGGTGGAGGTGCTGGACCGCCTCGTGTGCAGCGACATCAACAAGCTGCTCAGCCAGTACCAGCTCAAGGACGAGCCCGAGAGGAAGAACGCACACATGGTATACTACAAACGTACATACATACATCTACAGACATTTGTAAGGTTTAAACTTAAATGTTGATTCCTTATTGCGAAATATGTGTTTCAGTATATATATTTGCCCTTTCCATGCCATAATGTAGTATTTGAACGCACTCCTATTACTTTAATAACATATGTATATAAATACATACACAATAAGAAGCGTGCTATTCATATAGCTGGATACTTTTACTGTCGAAGCAATCAGAGAGAGAGTCAGAAATCGCTAATTTGAACAGTACAAAATATATTTATCAATTAACTACAATGGCTCGATCTGTCCATGCACGAAATGTTTTTATGAGAGATACAAATGTTTATTTTGATTATAGTTTTTCGGCATCTTTATATGCAGAAACTGTCGATGTAATTTACTTTCATCGAATTATTTTATCGGCCGTATCTACATTTTTTGCGATTTGGATGTATTTCAGTGACCTATATAAGATTAAAACTTTAAACTCGCTTCACTTAGTTTTCCAAGCGAGCGCCACTTACCACAGTAAACATTAGAGAAGACAGACGGGGATGATCAGGGGAAAGTCTTTCCAAATAGCTTTATTTAAACGTCAGTTTTTTTCCGTAAATCTAGGAAAGTATTTAATATCTCTTTGTAATCTTCCACAGTTGGTAATAAAAGCCGTGCATTTGCGGCCGGACGCGGCGCTGCCGGCGCAGGAGTGCTGCCTCAAGGTGTCGCTTCTTCCTCTCCGGTTCAACCTCGACCAGGACACGCTCGCCTTCCTCGCAGGGTTCTTTTCTAAACTTGGAACTGATGAGGCTGGTGGTGGTATGTGCCATTTGCTTTTTAATTGTGAAAATAATCTAGCTTAAAATGTATACTATCTTAGAAGATATAAAAAAAACTAACGAAAGAGAAAGAAAATATATATAAAATAATAATTAATTATATGTGTTATAATAATATAATAAATATGTTTGTGTCAGTTAACACTATGTGATTTCGAGAGTCTTGTATTATTATATTCTGGGGAAATAATGTAATAGATGTTATGGAATTTACCATATGATAGCACATTCATAAAGATATTTACCTCTTTATAATGTAAATTAAATTGATTAAAATAAATCACGATATTGTATACCATATTGGCTTCCAAATATACTATGAAATACAAAAAATTATCGATTTAGGGCCACTCCACACTATAGTGCCGATCACCGTCCGTTCTCCGTCCGATATCAGTCTGGTAAAGTATTTCTGTACAAGAATCGTTGCTGGAGCGTGATGAGCGGAACTTGAGTCTTACTGATAGTGTGAATGCACTCATTGTTTCTTGTATAGCAATACTTTACCAGACTGATATCAGACCGAGAACGGACTGTAATCGACACTATATTGTGGAGTGGTCCTTAGTAAGTCTCTTCATTTACGTTTGTTTGTACTAATATCATATCCAAACCCACAGAAGAAGACACAAAGAGCGTGGGCGGGCTGTCGACGGAGTCGAGCGGGTCGCGGCAGACCACGCCCACGCACCGCCCGCCCGTCATGACGCTGGGCAGCCACCTGCGCGACCCGCCGCCCACGCCCACTTCGCTCGGCGACGCGGACTGCCTCTCGCTCAATGATACTGGTCAGATATAATACTTTCTTTGATGTAATCGAATATTTGACAGTTTAAATAAAACTATATTTTCGGATTTTTTTCGTGATTTGATTTTTGGTTTCTAACGTTTCGAATGTTTTACATCAATTATGGGCACGGGAGAGACTAACGTTTTAACGTCTCAAATGTTTAAAAAGCTTAAAGAATAAAGGTTTGTAATAATATAGTTGTTACAGACAGCCTACCCACATAATTACCAAGTTAATTCAAAAATACAAAAAAACCATGATTGCTATAAATCATTTCGGGAACCAAAAATCAAAATAAATCTGCGAAAAAATCCGAAAAGATAGTTTTATTTAAGATATGGTGAGTTTAGAATGTTTATATTATTAATCTGATAAGCAGAAAATGAACAATAAAATGTTGAAAGTAACGACCTTTTTTTAATACTTTTTTAAAACATTTGTACAAATCTTTTTATTTATTTTAATTTTTATCCTAATGATTCGTACTTTAGCTTAAGTTAAATTATAAGCAATTTGTTAAGAGTGCTAACCTTTAACAACAAAAATATTCCAATAATTACTCTACAGTGATACGTGATGACGAACCGCTAATGGAAACATATGAAGCTGAGCGCCTGGTGTCAGAAAATTTAATACAATTAGAAGAGGACTTCCAGAAGCTAGGCATCAGCCATGAGAAGCCCACTACGAAAGTTCCAGATTCTGAGCCCGTAGACGACTCACCTATTTACTTCCGGTAAGTCTAAAGTTATAAAATACCATATAAATATTATAAATACGAAAGTTTCGATGAATGGATGCTTGTTACTCAATCACGCCAGAACGGCAAAACAGATCTGGATGACATTTGGTTCAGAGATCATAGTTTGGAATAGCACATAGGTTAATTTTTATCCCGTAAAACTGTACGTTTCCCGAGGGCTATTCATACTAACAGTTAATACTTAATTTGCTTTAGTTAAAAAATAAATTAAAGTAAATATAATATTGATAGCTAACAACAAGTAGTCTGACGGCAAGAGCTGAACTGAGTCTTAATTGGCAACAGATGTGCTGGTGCGGGTCGAGAAATTAGTCAAGTTGAAAAATAAATAACACATAACAATTCCAATACAAAATCTATGAAGGAATTGCATTTTAACAGCTTATAAAATATATGTCAATTACATCGATTTCTAAATTATATTGAAAGTAAATATTTTACCCTTCACAAATAAACATTCCACCCCTAAGGATAGAATATTTCTATCCTTAGGGACGGAATGTTTTCAAATACGTTAAGGAATTATAAAGTCAAGGATTATCAAAATCGTTTTACAAAAGGCGTAGATGAAGCGGAACCTACAAACAACATAAATCCCAATTAAGAAGTCAGTCTTCTTAGAAGACATAACACTTGGTCTAATCGCTTCTACTGGTGAAAAAAGACCTGGCTGGCTCTCCTGACAATATAATTGGCGGCGTAATACTGTTAGTCTTCTTGCCATAATTCCACTCGAACATGACTTGTACTATAATTAAGAATTTTTGTAATTTCAATATATTTCCTAATTCATAAAATAATTTAATATATAGTTTTGAGTCTACTTTTAATTTTAATTCACAGACGAGTAGTATTCTCCCCCGAAGTGCCAATCCGGCTGGACTACGTAGGCAAGCGCGTGGACCTGTCGGCCGGGCCCGTCGCCGGCCTACTCATGGGGCTCGGACACCTTAACTGCTCGGAACTCACGCTTAAAAGACTGGATTATAAGTGAGTATTGTTGAAGTGAAAACTTCTATTGGCAGATTTGGATGGGCAGTAAATTCATATAAGTCGTCATCGACATGGTCCCGTGACGTATTAACTGTTAACGCTAACACTCAGAGTGCCGATAGATGTCGAAACCAGATGAATGTGAACAGTTTTAATTTACAAATTTTAATTTAATATCATACAATTAATTTGAATATCCAAAAATAACAACTGTTTGTTTATAGTTTTGTGTTTTCACTTCTGTCGGCAATCCTCATGACGGTTTTTTTTATAATAATCACTTACCCTGGCTTCATTTACCTAAATATACAAATATCGGAGCTTATTTTCTCAAAATCCATAGACTATATAACCTTTTTAGATAATTTCTCTTTCTATTGATGAAAACCACATGTAAATCCGTACAGTAAATAGTAAGATTAGCCCAAACAAACACAGCTTATGATCTACGCGGTGGGAGAGTCTAATTAATAATAATATGTCTTCAGATTACTTTGCAATTTCCAGTCCGTACTGCTTCACGCTTATTAATACATTCGTAGAAACTCTCCAAATTCAAATTCAAATTATTTTATTCAGCCTTAAATTATTACAATTTTTTACTGAACTTCATGAGTCTACTACCTCTGATGAGTCACTCCCGTGACCGTGATTGCTGTAAAGCAATAATGTCAAATGTAATAAACGTCAGGAACCACAAAGCAATGTTTTGATATGCCAAGATAGCAGTTAACCAACTTCACAGTCAATATATATGCACGTACACACAGTGAGTGTATGTGTGTGTGTATGCTTGCGCATTTGTCTATCCTAATATTATAAAAGGGCAAAGTTTGTTTGTTTGTTTCTAATCTCAGGAACTACTAATCCGATTTGAAAAATTATGTTTGTATTAGATAACCCGTTTATTGCGGAAGGCTATATATCATCCCGGAAAAAAGTACGGTTCCTGTGGGATAGATTTGTTTTGTCTAGGGACGAACCGGAAGCGAAGCGAGGACCAGTCGCTAAGTATGATATGAAAATATTGTAAATATAAGTATAACATTTGCCAGATTGGGTCTCCTGGGGCTGGAGAAGCTGGTGCAGTGGGCGCTGCACGAGTGGCTGTCGGACATCAAGCGGCACCAGCTGCCGGGCCTGCTCAGTGGCATCGGGCCCATGCACTCGCTTTTGCAAATCAGTGAGTTATTATTAACATTTTCTAACAGTTTTGTCGATATGAAATGTGATTTAAAACAGTTTGTTTTAGATGGAACTTGTCTTTTACTTATGTCATCAACTCATTTAAAGTTAATATAAAAAATAAAGATTTTTATTCAAGACTACAATATGAGTTCAAGTTAGGCTGTTTTTATAATTTGCTTTCGTTACTCTTAAATTTATTATTTAATCCAATAAGTTTAATTTTAAAGTCATCAGCGATCTGCCAGTGAACGTCCCGTCAAAATAGGTCCAACCGTTTCGGAGATAAGCCGGAACAAACAGACCGACCATACAGACAGAGTATATACTTTCGTATGCATTCAGTAAAAAGCTGTTATTTTGACATTACAAA